ACTTCGACCTCCTTATCTTTATTATTACTTAAATCCTTGTCGGCTTTATTACTACTATTAAATAGTATATCATCGATTTCGGTGTACTAGTTTTACTACTTCAATTTACTATTAAAAAAATCAGTTTATAAAACATCCTACTTAATTATAACTAAAGGATACTTACTCCTTATATATATAATAAAGCAGCTATAAATATTAATAATATATTTACTAATCACCCAATTAATTATAAAAAGTAGTACTATCTTATTATAATTTTTAAGTAGGGTCGTCTTCAACTAACTCACCTTCGGTCAGTTAGCTAAGAAAAAAACCTACATATTCTTATAAATATTAAAAAGATTAATAGTCTCGTTAAATATTACCCTAATCTTATATATAAGGGTCAATTATATTTAATAGTTAATTTTCAATATATTCTAACAATTATACACCCGCTTACAAAACAAATTCTAATTAGGGTATTTACTACGTAGCCTTCTAATTACCATATTGAAAGCTATAATTAACCATTTACCCTTAAATCCCCGGACTATATCTTTCTTTTTTTAAATATTAATTAAGAAGGTGAAGAATAATCTAGTTTAGCCGGTAAATTATTATAGGGCGGCGCTAATCTCTTTAAAGAGAGGGAATTTATTATTAAATAAAGCGGGCTTAGTATTATAATTTATATCACTAGAGCTAGCAGCAATAGAATTAACAATAGGTATATTAAAGAAAGACGAACCTACAACAGAATTCCTCTCTATCGAAGAACCTATTATAGGATTCCTCTCTATCGAAGAACCTATTACGGGATTCCTCTCTATCGAAGAACCTATTACGGGATTCCTCTCTATCGAAGAACTGGCGGTAGAGGATGAACCAGCCTAGGCAGGGCAGTTAATAGGGGTAAACTAAAGTCGAAGGATTATAACTTCTAATTAAAATAATAGTATTAAGATTATAAAATAATCTACACCCGGCTGCCTGGGCGGCCGGTTTAACTAAATAGGCAATACCCAATTAATTCTAATATTAATTTACTATAAAGCGGTTGGAGTTAGTTAGGGTTTAGAAGTACAAAGCGTTTAAAGTTAGGCCAGTTAATTAATTAGGGGGGTAGGCTAGGGAGGCTAAATAGAAGGAGGAAGGTTGAAAGAAGTACTATCTATACGGCTATAATATTATATTCCTAAGTATTATAATAATTAGGCGATACAAAACCAAACTCTTTCAATTCTAAATAGATCTCCTAATTATGGTAGCCGTTATATATAAATTTATCTAAACTAAATACCTCATTATCGATATTATTACTAAGGCTAGCAATCTATAAATGAGTAGTAAGTATAATAAATAAAGTAAAGGAGTAAATAATAGAGAGATAAGGGTATTAATAATAAAGGATTTTAATTAATAATATTATAGAGTTAATACTTATATTTATACTCTATTCGACTCGACTCTATTTAATTCAATTTGATTTAATTAGGTATTCAATTGGCTAGAAACCTTCGATTTATATTAATTTGCTATTATTACTAGTAATAATAGCTTTTATACACTAATATTATAATTTATTCAATTGCAATTATTATTATAGTAGACTATTATTTATATCCCCCTTTTTATCCCCCAACTATTTATAATTAATTACCGCCACCCCCTAACTTAAGGATTACTTAGAAGTTATATAGTCTTATAAAACGGCTTCCTAACTATCCGACGGTAGTATCCATATGTAAATACCTTCAATATTAAGTTTGTTACAGTAATTACAGTCTTGTAGTATTAAAATCGAGGCATTTTATAAGGATTTCGACGATGCGCTGTACCCAATTGTATAGCCTCGCTTAATAGCGCTACTAAGTACGTGCTAGCGCTACTATATAATAAAAGATAAAAAGAAAAAAAAGATAAATAGTATAATATCCCTGTTGGTTACTGCAGATGGCGCTTTGTACCCTCCTCTACCCTTGTAAGAAGTCAGCAGATTTTTTGCTGACTGAACCAAACGCGCCCTTAGTATAGTGTACTGCGCAGTCGCTTGTCGAGCTTGTTGAGCTTGCCTTCCCGTCAGTTGTCACGCTTGGCTCTCCTCCATGCATTCCATGGATCCAGAGATCCTATCCAGGAAGGGTGTGAGTATGTAGTGTAACTACCGTGTAGTGTGCATACGTACATCGTACGCCAATCATACACTAGATATGGTAAGTAGGCCAAGAGGCGGCTGAAGCTAGTATATCGAAAGAGTAACCATTCTCATTGTGATCTCTTTCTCGTCATTCTGCACCCACTCAGGCATTGTGAAAAGAGTCAAAGGTGAAAGGAGTTGAACTCCCAACGAAGGAATTTGATCGGCTGAGATCATGATGACTTCTTGCTCTTCTTCTTTTCTTCCCTTTTCCAGACATGACAATCTAAAATCACGGTCCCTGATCGATCTCACCGCCAACGAAATCCGAGCCCAACTATCAAATCCGAGACAGCCAAGGAGGGCCAAGGAAAGGCCGAGATAAAGCCAAGAGCCAGGTCGCGTACAGCACCCGATCAAAAAACTGATATATTTCTCACGGAGAGTATTGGTCATTCCGTTTCAGAATGGGCTAGACTGAGGGCGTAAGGCTGGGTGGGCATGACGTGACTGGGGAATACCTATATATTGCATAGAGAGATGTTTTCGACTTGTACGTAACCGATATCGCTCATCCTACTACACGATATAATATCAGTCGAGTCTCTACTAAAGTCAAACTCAATTACCTGTGATCTTCTAGTGTAGACTTTGGTGTTACTCCAATATCTTGCCATTTCTTGGTACAATTTGTCCCGGGTCCTTCCCGTCCTTGATCTTCGGAGGCGGCCTCTAGCCTACCTCCACTGCTCCGTAGCTGCCGAGAACCATTACCCATGCATGTCCTACCTTGATAATTGCTTTGAAACCGCGAGTGATCAAAATCGACGCTTTTATGAACCCCGTGCGTCTATGGCGTCGTTCTGGGCTTCCGAGTGAAATTGTGCTCTGCCGCTGGTTGTGCTTCTAGGCCGTCCTACACCGCAGTAATTATCGGGTCCAAAGCTGACCTCTTCCGTGTCCCGTTCCTTGGCGGTGCTCTCGGCGAAAACAAACAACACACGGAGCAGGAAAGGTTCGAGGCACAATCAACAATGGAAACCTAACATGCTTCCCTCGCTCTTTTTTCGCTTTTTTTTCTAGCCCGGTACCTCCCTCATAACCTTTAAATTACTACACCCTTCCGGCTCGGCCGACCTGCAAAATCTCACCTGTTGGCCGGTCATCGCTGCGTAGCACCGGCCAAGAGCTGCCGTCTGCCTTCCACAACGTAACCTCCAGCTTGGTGCCGAGGATCTTGTAGCTTGACTTCTCAGGGACAATGGGCCCAAAGAGCGACACCTCCGTCTTGTACCTTTTTACGGGGCTGTCCGTCGTGGGCAAATCCAGAACAATGGAGTTGGGCTTGAACTCAACCTTGGCAGCGTCCTTATTGATCTTCTTGAGGAAGAAAGATGCGATGACTGACGAAGGGGTCTGGTAGAAGTCGGTCCTGAGAGCAAACACAGGTCAGTTGAGCTGCAGTGGAATGGCAGGATCAAGCAGATCAAAATGAAAAAGAATGTTTGCAGGGCACAGCCATCCTTGGCCGACCTTGGCTGCGAAACATCATCACCACGGACGGAACTTACCTGACCATCTCCAAGATCTCCTCGCCTCCTGATGCGGCCGCAGCCTCCTTCTTCCCGCTACCGACAAACAGATGCCGATCCTTGGTCTTGCAGCCCTCAATCTTCATGAACTGGTCAAACTCAAGGACGCGGCGCTTGCAGCAGCTGTACCCCTTGCTTCCCTCGTGGAAGATGGGAGCGCCGGGGTGGTGTACACACTTCTCGCCCTCGCGGTTGGCGCCCTTCTGGTAGGTCGCGCCGCAAGCCTTTCTCCTGCACACGCGGCCATCCGGAATCTCAATTCCTTCCTCGTCATCATCGGATTCTGGCGCCGGCGGCGGAGGAGTGGGAGCATGTTGCGCAACAGGCACGGGCGTACGGGTCGGTGGCGGAGGGGTGGCGGCCAGAGACTCGAGCAGTGATGGATCGGCCTCGTTCTTCTCGATCTTGGGGGGAAGATCGGTGGTACTGTGCTTGCCTTCGGTACAAGGCTCAATGGTCATGAACTCTTCGAAGGTGAGCACGCGCGGCTTGCAGCACTTCCATCCTAAGCAGCCATGTGCGTTAGCCGGGGCTGTCTTTACATCTCGCCGAACTTGGACAACATCAAACTGGACATTACTTGCCCTTCTGGCCTTCGTGGAAAACAGGGGGTCCAGGGTGGTAACGGCAGACCTCCTGGGGGTCGGTGTAGACCTTGCCGCAACCTTGATGGACGCACTTGTTGGCCTCGGACATGGTTATCCAATTATGCAGGTGTGAGAACCTTGAAAGACAGTCAATGCAGATTCGCTTGACGCGAGTGATGCGCTATCGAAAAGAATACCTAAAAGATGCAGACTGTATTCAGTTGACAGAAAGCTTAGTCGATGCTCATCCAACGTTAACAGGAGGAGCCGAGGGGAGTGGTTTGTCTAGAAATAGATGGAGTACGAGATGGGCCTTGTGGAAGTTTCCGTTCAGAAGAGCGTAGAACATTCAAGCTTTCTACAGCATCAGCGGCTTCCTGTTCCAGCCAGCGTGCCAATTCCCAAATACCAGTGCCGGCGCGCCGTCGGGTTGAGAAGTGGGGGCGGGGAAGCACCCCGGAGTCGTGAGCTCGGACCCGTATTGTCGTCACTTCGAGGTACCTCTTCAGTGGTCGCGTGCTGCGCGTACAGTGGGTGTGCCCCGACGGCAGGCAAGCCAGCCCTAGGTAGGCAGGTACATGCTTTCCTCTTGTTAGCAACTGAAGCGCTACACAGTATGTCCAACGTCAACAACATCCGATCTAGTTAAGCCAAGTACAACAACACCATACATCCTCGAGACATCTAAACGCATCTCGCTGTGGTTACCTTCACAAACTCTAACAGTAACAACATGCGTCTTACAAGTCGGCTACTTCAGTCCTTTCCGTCCCGGATCACCTTTTTCAGGCGTGAAGGCTGTGGTCTGTGTGTTCAGGCAAGATCCGTCTTGTCCGATGTCTGGGACCGCCGGCCTTTCGAGTACAAGGAAGTCGACATTGTCAAGCCAGAGTCTAAGGCCTGGAGAGATCTCTATGACTTTGATGTTCCAGTGGTGAGTTGACTCAGGTCGTCGAACCTCAGGTGGAAGTTAACACCCAGTGACACCTTGACAGATTCACATCAGCAAGGCTCAAGCCCCAGAAGAAGACCCCCAACTCTCCTCCAAGGCCGTCAAGTTGATGCACCGCTTCACGGTCGAGCAAGTTGAAACTAAAATGAATCAAGTCGAAGAGTCATGAGCGAGACTATCCTATTATTGGCACTCGTGTGGTGCGTCGATACCAGGGCCTCATTCTCGTTAATACGATGCCGGCTTGTCCTGCTTCCCTTGGCCCCGCGCAATGCTTAGGCTGTCCGCCATTGCAGCTCCCAACAAAGTGTAATCCGTTGCGACACTGATCATATGGAATCCCTTGTCGGCATACTGTTTGGCCTGCTCTCCGCCTGTGCAGAAGATGCCGCACTTTTTGCCTGCCGTTACGGCAGCCTTCAGGATCCTCTCAATAGCCTCATCTAGCTCCGGATCCATCTTTCCCTCGATAATCGGGTGGCCGATGTTGTTACCCAAGTCAAAAGGACCAACAAAGATGACATCCACGAGCGGAGCAATCTCTTCAACACAGTCCAAGGCTTCCTGTGTCTCGATCTGCACCATGGTCAAGAGACTCTCGTTCGCTTGCTGGAGGTATTCGGTGAAGGTTGGCATGGGGTTGAAGTTTTGCATAGCGATGGGCGATCCAAACCCTCTCTTGCCTTCTGGTGGGAACTTTGCCGCGGTAACCAAGTTTTTGACATCCTCAACGGTCCTGATGAGCGGTGCAAGGATCTGGATCACGTCAGAAAATTGTCTCCAACACAAGATACTCTTATACACTCACTCCATGGGCACCACTATCCAACGCTCCTGTAAAGGGTACATCAGTAACCGTCCAAGTGGCAAGGCAACACGAATGGCACTCACGCTTGACCATCGATGGCTGAAGGTCTGGGATCCGGACAATAGGAGAAACGCCCAGGGCAGCAATGGCCGGAACTGCTTCGTGCATCGCAGCATCTGACCAATATCATTCAGCTCAACAAACCCCATTATTCACCACCGTATTCCGGGTTACCTACCGTCAATGTTTCCATGCTCGCAGTCAACCATTACCCAGTCAGCCCCCGATCGAGCGAGAATCCTCGAGATATTGGCCCCGGGTAGCATCTGCCAGACACCCATAGCAGGGCGGCTTCCCTGGGTAAAGATTTGCTTCAACGAATTGGCTGCCAGCATCTTGGAAGTTGGGTTACCGGAAGACATTGTACGGAGTTGGTGAACCGAAGTGACGTGAACGGCTTTGTTCAGTGAAGAGATATGATGCTTCAGGAGTTTTAAAATACGAAGGGGAGGAAAGGCATGCCAAGTCAGTGGGGATACAGGTGGAAGCTCGGACTAAGTCAACCCGAACTCTTTTAAAGCAAATCCGATGACACACACTGTGAAATCAAAGTTGATGCGCAGCTCCGAACCAATGTCCCGCCGCCACATACTCGATGTCAACTGTAATAACCTGACGGCAGATGGCGAGGAAATGTACCGGCTGCGTTGGGTGAACAAGTTCAATTGCTGGCCAATTTGGTACACCTTCGGGAGATGTTCGTCCCCTGCCTTCGTCCAAGAGATACACAGTAGGGCGGGGCTCCTACTGCGGGGTTCGCGTCTGTATCTCCCTCCGCATTCGGTTCTACCTAGGCTGTTCTGACTGTAGACACCACAACCTCCGCCGGTATTCGGATTATTGACATGTTCAAACTTCCGAGTCACGGGAACGGCAGGTTCAATGGGTTTGAATGGTCTCATAATGGAAGTCCATTAAGCGAAGGTGGACGTTGACATCTGCATCTTGGCCCTACTATACGTGTAAGCTTCCACAGAATTTCCATAGGGCTCTTTGACACTGCCGCAAATCAGCGACGAGAAGCTCCAGGAGGAGAAAGCTCTGCATTTCTGATGGTAGACTATACGATGATGAAAGCAATCATTCAAGCAGCAACCGAAAATAGTTGAGGGCTGCATTGACACCCCAAAGCGGATAAAAGTAAACAAAACAACCCTCCCGATTGAAAAGGGGCAAGCCGATGGGTGAGCGTCGCTTTTGCGGCAGGCAATTGAGTGGAGAATGGATCCGCTTCAGAAGCTCCAGCCTTCACTACAGCACTGGTACGTCGGGTTGTCTGCCGTGAGCCGTCGTCAGTGATCTGGGCTTGGCGATTCTACGGAAGAACAAGAGAAGCTCCAGCTTCACGGCGACGTTCTTGTCCCATCCCCACGATTTCACCACATCCCTCCCCGCCAGCATTACGTACCCACTATACTTCTTTGACGCGGCGCGCCGACCAGGTTGTATTCCTCTTTCGCGATCGGTCAACGAAAAACGAAAACATCAATAACCACGAACCAATTGCCCCATTCGAAGCGACGAACGACCAAACGATCCCATCCGGCCGGGCTTACCAAGATCACACCCAGCGAATAAGTCGCCCTCGAGTTGAACCGACGACTTTCTGTTTGCATCTACGTATTTCGCTTGAATCAATACTCTTCAAGTTAGACCGTGGGCTTTACGTGATACTTTGCTTATCACCGCGGTCTTGGGCCCGCGCATTGCCGGTACGAGAAAACACAAAGACTACAGTAATAGCATCTACTCATCCGTCACCATGTCGGCGGGCTTGGTAAATTCGTACCTCAACAGTTGGTCTACCCTCCTACCTGAGCCCTTCTGCTTCTTCGATCCCTCTTCCTCTTTCCTTTGTTGCTTCGGTCGCAAGATCAATTGGTCATGGCATCCCAAAGTCAAAGGATATTCGCAAGACCAGAAAGCTAACAGATCCATCTTTCTTCACTTTAGAAAAGGTTTGCATAATTACAGTCGATGGCCGCACCCTAGTAGGCACACTGATCTCGGTAGACATGAGCACGAATGTGGTCAGTATATGCTCCCTCCCAATTCCCATACTTTGATATAGTCCCTCTGCCACCCAATAAACAAACAAAGCATATCGCGAACGACAACTAACCCTCCAACAAAATAGTTCCTACAAAGAGCAGTTGAACGAGTCATTCGCTCCCCCGATGACGACGAGCCCTCGGCCGAGATCGAGCTGGGAACGCACATGATTCGCGGGGACACGGTCTGCCTGGTTGGGTTGGTTGATGAGCCGCTGGACGAGAGCATAGACTGGACCAAAGTCAAGGGGGCTACAATTGGGACGACAAAGCACTAGAATATACCACCGAACCATAAAACCGTTTCTGCGCTATACCTGAGCGCGTGAGGCATGGTGTCACGCTCCCTCAAAACCAAGAAGAGGAGGCAGGAGAAGGAAATAAAGGAAAAAAAGACAAAAGTCGAACGGTGTGGCGGTCGCGGGCAGTTGACATAAAGGACAACACCGGTGAATAATGGGCGTGGCACACAAGATTTGGTTGCATCATTGGCATTTGGCACGCGGAGCTACAGGTTTTCTTTTACTACATTGGTATGCCCAATCGACGATCTTTCTTCCCCTTCTTACTTCCCCGTTAAGACTTATGCTGACCGAGGAAGAAAAATAAGACAAGTTGTCACGGGCAGGTCCAGCTCTCGTTTTAAGGAACCCAGCGAATATTGATTTCAGATACCCCAGATCTCAAAAACTCCGCGTGGAATAGATTCGCTTTCTATATACAAAAAGAAGAAGAAAATCAACAAGTGCTGCCGGCAGATTTAACCAAAGAGTCTATCCATCAAGATGGCGGCAAACTTCTCGTCGCCGGGGGTCTTGACCATCCTGTTAATTCTGTTTCCCTTGTTCACGCTTAGCCAGCCCATGTCGTCTCCGGGAACATCGTCAAAGGTGGTCGCATCCAGAGGATCCGCCGGATGCGTCTCCACCTTGCTTGACTGCTCACCCGGCTTCGCCCTCTGTCGTCTGTCGACGACATGCATGCCCCTGGTCCATTGGCCGGAGGTCTCGATTCTGATATCTTCCGGCTTCGCCACGGGTTCCCATGCAGGGTCATCCTGGGTCAGCATGTACCAAATGCACGCCGGGTCATGGAGAGACAGACCGGGCTCACTGCCGTCGCCAAGCATGGCTTCGACTTTGTTGAAGATGCCTGTCATGAAGGTCTCGATCCACAGCGCAAGCGGGCTGCCGGACTTGGTGATGGGCTGGATGGTCTCGTAGAAGTACTTTTTCCTCAGCTCGAGCGGGGTGGTGATATCAAGAGGGAAAAGGGTCAGCTTAAGCTGCTTGGAAAGCTTGGCGGGGTAAGGAGGCAAAAAGGATTTGCCGTGGATGACGGGGGGCATGGTCGAGATCGGGTTGGGCGAGGTCAGGGCGTAGACGCGGGCGGCGGCAACAGTATCGGCGAAGCAGTTGAACTCGGCGACGGGGGTCACGTTGCCCTCGACGTTCACGGCACCACCCATGACAACCAGCTCCTTGGCGCGCAGGAAGGTTTCGGGGTCCTCAGCAGCGGCCAGCGCCACGTTTGTCAAGGGACCAACGGCAACGACGGTGACGGTGTTCTCGGGCGATTCCTTCAGGATACGGAGAATCTCCTTGTGCGCTGGAGCCTTGCTTGGGGTGAAGTACTTGGAGTACGAAGGAGGCTCAACTTTTTCACCCTTGGGCTCTTCGTCGCTGAACAGAGAGCGCCAGGTGTCGGCGGGGGAAAGATGAGGTTGCTGGGGCGATGGTCAGGTCAAACGTACCATGACAAGAAACGCAACGCAGTCCTCGGAATTTACTTACCTTCTCGTGGACACCATGTAGACCGTCGGCACCATCTACAATTTGTCAACTGCTCTGTTCCTGGGGGAAAAGCGGTGGGGGTCTCGGTCTGTCTTACGGAAGTGGTCGGCCGCGAGGATCTCATCCTCCAGCGCGTGCTCCGGACCAACGGCGACAATGGGTTTATGGGTGTTGAGGGCACCGAAACCGCGAGTGCTCTTGCCTGTCTCCTCGCGCCACTTCATCTCTTTTTCCAGCACGTGGAACAGTGCCACGACGTTGCGGAGACAGCTGCGGGACGGGAAGAAAGGAACTTGAGGTTAGACAAAAGCTGCCGCTACCCGGAAATTTTCATGACCATCTATACATACCTCTGAAGCGGAACATTGCCATAAGTGACGGAGATCATAGCAAGCTCAAGCTCCTCGGGTGAGGCACTGAGGGCGAGAAGAAGAGCCAGCACATCGTCGACACCGGGGTCGGTGTCGAGAATAACACGTTGCTTGGGAGCCATGGTGGGTTTTTTTCTTCTGCGAATTATATGTCAGTCTTTGATATGTATTCAGCTGCTGGTGAATTATCTGTATGCGAGAACGGGTGGCGGAGGATGCTAAGCGGTTGCAGTTTCCACCAGAACGGAAGGTATTTGCTGGATAACAGGTAGGGTCATATACGTACTGCACGCTGGAGATGGGAGTAGTAAAAGCGAGATTTTGGTCTTCAAAGGGAAAGACTTTTGAGAGTGAAGTTGAGGTCAGGATAAGCACCAAGCTATGAAAAGCGCTTCAGTTTTGAAGTCTGCCAATCTGACGCGGGGTCAACAAGGCCGCCGAGTCTTGGGGTCGTTAGCACCGGCTCTACACTAAGATTCGCTGTGATAGGAAGGTGGGACGGTCATCGCAAGTACCCCCCTAGTAGTGCAGAATGGCAACACGACACACACCTAAGACACCACTGGATCTACACTACTCTAGTGACCCAGTTATTCTTTTCCCTTCCATCCAGACTTTGCTCACGCCCGGGCCGTAGGTGTGTGTAGAGCCTCCATGTCCGACTCGGTAGCTGCGCCGAATCCCGTCTGTGCCGTCACCCGTGATATGGACCGCCTGACGGCTTCCGCCGGCCGCTGCAAATGGGGTGGACGGACCTCGACCTCAGCTCTCAACCCCCGCTGCCGGCCGGTTCCAGAACAGAGAAGGCCCGAGCACAAACAGGGTCACTGCGGTGGGGCTTTTTATGTATTCACTAAATTGTATACATTCCTGGTGAAACGGATCTGTGAATTGAGTCGTGCTTGCAGGTAGGTATAATAGACAGATAAGATGCGACACTCAACGGCAATCGTTATATGTTCGGCGAATGGTAAATACGGATAGAGTCTGGCGACGCTCACGTCTCGTCTCAGTCCTCAGCTCTCTATGCCGCGAGGGTAGACAACGATATTGTTCGACGTTGTAGCCATGATGAGACACACAAGAGGTATGAAACGTTCAACTGCCCGACCATGCACTGTTCCATTGCCGTGTTCAATATGCACGCCATGGCCAACAGACACACAACTTGGAACGTGGAACGTGGAATGAGATTATAAAAGGCTTCCACTTTCCCGGACCACCGCATCCATTTTCTTTTGCTCCAGGCCAAGCATCAAGGCCGACTTGAAAACAAGTACCACCTGGACTCGCGCGGTCAAAGTAACGAAACATAACGAATCCATTCCACACTGACCACGCCGGCACGTCCATCCTTGTTTGGGAAGAGCGAGGTAGGAAAAGTGGCGGTTAGTCTTTTATGCTTCGCAACGACAGCAAGGTCACGTGATCTCGCACCTCCAAGGTCCTCACCACCCATTCCGCGGGTAACAGGGGTATCAACCTCCCTGGCTTGCAGCCCGCAGGACCTATCCCTGCCAACACCTATCTCCGCGCGACACGGTGGCGGGCCAATGAACGGCGCAAAAGGAGCCTTTAACATCTGAACACCTTTCACCTGCGGCATCCACCCACCACAGACAAGGTCCCTCGACCGACTTCGTTTCCAGACCCAGACGAGGCCATCTTTTTCCTCTCTTCCCCAACCCTTCCGTCCTCCAGCATCAGTTAATCCTCCACTTTCTACTATATCGATTCCCTCCGTCTACCCATTGGTGCGGACAGGCAGATACACGGTTCAACTACCTACCTTACCTTGTAATCGTCTTGGTTACCCCACGACGTGGCAGCGGATTTATAAAGTCCTTCCTCCTATCTCGACATCCGTCGCCAGCTAAGATCACCCTACCTTATCCCCGACACCAACGGACATTTGAAAGGGTCTCCGATCTAGCAGCATACCCAATTGCCCCCACAGAAGCTCCGTTATAAAGCGACGATCATTGCTTAAACGCCAGCGGTCCCTCCCAGCGACCTCGAAGCTTGCCACTTACGCGTCCGACCCAACGTTGCGCGCTTTCATTCCACGCACCACGACTTTCACATCCCCATCTTTAATCATGGGTATCTCATTCTCTACCCTGGCCGGATGGGTTGCCATCATCTGCGTTGCCGGCTTCTATACCTACAACTACAAAGAGCAGCAGAAGAAGCGTGAGCTTGCTCGCAAGCCCTCGCAGCGACACAAGTTGGAGGAGAAGCAGCAGGAGACACGCAAGGAACCCAAAGAGAAGATTAAGAAGCAACGAACAGAGCCACCAAGCAAAATCGCCGAGGAGCCGGAGAAGGCACAGAAGCCCAAGCAAAAGGCTGCCAAGGCCAAGGCTACCCCCGCTCCCAAAGCTGCTCCCAAGGCTGCTTCCAAGGCCGCCCCTGTGTCCACCACCACTAAGCCCGCAAGTTACAGCTCGGATGAAGATGATGGTATCGACAACCGCGAGTTCGCCCGCCAGTTCGCCAGCATCAAGCAGGGCACCGTCCTCAACACGAAGAAGCAGGACGAGAAGCGTCAAAAGTCGGTGAAGCAGTCCCGTGCCCTCGAGCGTGAGGTCGAGGCCGAGCCTCAACAGGCTACCCCCAAGGGTGTGTCTGCCCCCTCTTCTACTACCGGCGTCGATGCCGATGACGACGAGTCCTCAGTCGCCTCCCCGGAGGTCAAGGCCCAGGACGCCGGAGACGTCAGCGACATGCTCGAACCCACGACCTCGGGCCCTTCGGTCCTCCGCCTCACCGATACCGACAAGGTAAAGCAAAAGAAGGCAAAGAAGGAGAAGCCTATGGAGAAGGTTGAAACCAAGAAGCAACGCCAGAACCGCAAGAAGGCCGAGGCCGAGAAGGCTGCTCGTGAGGAGGCTGAGAAGGCCAGACAGGTTCTGCTCGAGAAGCAGCGGAGGGAGGCCCGCATCGCCGAAGGCCGTGCTGCCAAGGATGGCTCTGCCTTCATGGCTGCCCAGGCTGCCAAGTCATCTGCTTGGACTGGCAATGGCGCGAATGGCAGCTCCCACAGCGATAGCGGTGCCGAGAACAACGGGTTCGTCTCTGTTGAGCCCTTGGATACCTTTAGCAGCAGCACTCCCGCTGCCGCCCAGCCAGCCAAGGCCCCTGCTGCCGAGACCAAGAAGCCTCAGACTTGGATGTCATCTCTGCCCACTGAAGAGGAGCAGATGCAGCTTCTCCGTGACGAGGAGGCCTGGAACACTGTCCAGACCAAGAAGTCGAAGTCCAAGAAGAACAAGGCCTCCGCCACTGATAGTGCCAACGAGTCCGAGTCCGCGGCGGCCAAGCCTCAAGAGGCTTCTACCCCGGTTCCCACCAAGCCTCAGGCTGTTAACGGCAACAAGTCGTCCAAGATCGTCTACCAGCAGTCTGCTTTTGCTGCCCTGAGCCCGAAGGAGGAGGAAGACGAGCGTGAGCTTGTCGAGACGGAGTGGGACGTTTAAACCAGATCTATCCTGCGTTCTGGGTATTAGACCAAGACCATTGGAACGAAAAGGGGAAATCGGATCGAGGGGGTAATAAGCTCTATCACTAATCAACATGTGCTGTTTGCGTCCTTGGTGTGGATATGCGAAGGAGGAGAAGGAGGATGCTCCTGTTATGTGACCACGTCGCGGAGTCGATCTATCTGTTTTACCATTTGATCATGGGGTTTGCTGCCATTTATACAAAGACAACGTTTGGCTTTTTTTTTTCGAAGAGCCACATGGGCTGGGCGAGGAGTCTTATGTATGTATGTATATTAACGTCCTTTTAAAACTTTCTCGTGCGCCGGCACTAGACCTTGACCACGCTCTGCTTCTCCGCATTGCCTACCTTTCGCCCGTGTTGGTTCTTGATATAGTGGCTTGATAGCTGAAATCAATTTGATGACAAACAGTTAGTAAACTTGGACACTAGCAACCTACCTACATACCTGCATCTGCCTCCTAAATTCGACGGTAAGGATGCCATCTCTCCTATCTGACGATGAAGAATGTCTACTCACGGCGGTATGGTGCACGGGGACGTCTACCTCTTAGTGGTTTTTCTGTCGAGCTTCGGTCCTTTCCATCGCGAAGATACGGCCCATGCAGACTGAGCTACCAGCAATCTCTCGCTTATTTTCGGCGGCCACTTTCACCATGTGCTGGTTGGACCTTGCACGGATAAACGGCAATGGATTGTAACATTTCGGATATCATGTATGAAACTGATGGCGGGGTATGGTAATTGAAGTTCGGCACGGTAGCCCTGAGGCATTATGCATCGACATTCAAATACCAACGAGCCAACAACCGAGGCCGTCGACATTTCAGCACAGGAAAACGGTGGCATGGGGGTCTTCGGCCATTTATCTACCCGTTGCTGGGCTTCGCTCGGTATGCTAATTTCGTACATGCCATAGACTGGGATCAGCAATGACCGGAAGCCTTCAATACCTTTTTCCATACGACATGTGAAATTGTAAAACTTTGCGATTGGGGCCAGTTGAAGCAAAGAAGGCGAACCGCCTATAACAGAATTATGACAAAGGTGCCCGTGTCCAAGTCCCCAGAGGCATAGAGACGTTGTTTTGTTCAATGTACCCGTGTAATTGAGTTGGCATCATGTGAAAGAACCTTTCTTTGTCTTTCCTAACGAGACCCGTACGCTACTACCTACCTACACGTGCCGTTAGATCTGGGTGAGATGTCCGAGATGAGATTGTCTCTTCGGTGACACCCAAAAGAGGCAAAGCGAGCCCTTCGCTCTTCTGGGTTGTTCGTTCCTGAACCCCCAAATTGCGTGGACCGTTTCGATGCATTTTCTCGGCAGCGCCAGGCTGTGCCCGGCCAAGCGTCGTCTTGGCGGTATCACGGTGCCTGTACGCAGTATCGCGGTTTGTGGGGTAGAAGTCTTTAATGTTCCCTATTGGCTGCCGGCACAGCTTTCACGGCTTGGCTTGGTGCGCTTATGGATCCGTCCAGCCGTCCAGCCCTCCACACACACCACCCTGGTGGTGGTGTAAGAAGGTACCTGTGGGCTACGAGGTCCCTTCACTTCCCTTCCACTTCAGTTCTTCGTTCTCTTTTGGCTGCTGTTGCTGCACCTTTGGCTGAGGTGAGTGGCTCGAGGCTGGCTGCCCCTGGCTGCAGTGCTCCCCAACCTTTCAGTGCGCTCCCTCCTGCCACACAATCATTTCTTTCCCTGTGGTTTATCCTCACCCCCTTCCCTTCCCTTGGTTACTTCGCCGAGCCCCTGGGTTCCGCTCAAGGGTTGGACGGGGAAAACGTTTACGGGTTTCGTCGTAAATGGCCCCGCCATTCTTTCCACTTTGCCCACTCATCAAACGATCCGTCCATCTCCATGGTTCATTGACCATGCCCCTTTCCCTCCCGTTTCGTTTCCAAAATTACCGCGCATTCTTGTATCTCTACGTAAAGGGACGTGGCCACAGCTTGATTGTTACCAGCATGGGGTGCAATTGAAGTGAAAGCAAAGAGAATCCCGTCATTACATACCATGACATTCAGTTTCCTCCACTGCATCTAACGTTGACTTGCGAGTTCCGATCTTGGTTCCCGCGATTCTCTGTCCGCTTCTCTCTCTTGTAAGCGACCGACCTCGTTCGCTCTACCTAGCCATCTCCATTTCGCCCCCTTTTGCGCTCCAGGTCTGGGCAATTGGCAATCAATCAAGCAATCAATCTTGTGCAGCTCCGTTCCTCGCTATCTGGACAACCAGCGTATTGCATGTGCATTTGGCTTCTTCTGTATCCGCGCAACCGTCTTCCTCCAACCACTTGTACGTTAACGTGTACGCCGGGCAGCAGCACCTTGACGGTACCCCATGCCAATGCCCGGGTGCGACAACGACGCAACTCTTCCACCTCCAGCTGTGATTTGGCAGACGTGGATCCATCAACATCCACATCATCCTACGCCATCCATTGCCAACGACGACTGAGCAGGGCACACGACGCATTTCTGACCTTCTACAAACCTTCCCCTCCTCACCTAACCTACCTGTTTGTCGCCAGTAGGGTCCTGCGGAGAAGCGAGCCGGCTAGGGTTGGGAAGCACAAGACAGGCCACCACACCACCAGGCCATCGCATTACCGGTACACCGCAACCATTCGCAACTTCAGCTCACTGGTAGACGAAAGTCAGCTTCCTTAATCACCCACGCGCCTTGCATTCCCGGATCATCCGCTACAGTCTTGTTCTGGCTCTTCAATTCTACCCCCTATACCGCCGCCAACAGTTCCCCCGAGGGGAAACTTGTCCACATTGACTCCCTCCAAGCTCGTCACGATATCTCATCTTTACGATTGATCCACCTTCAGAAAGCGACTTACTTTCTAGTGTAGCTTTGCGGACTTTATGAATTACACACAATTGGAAACTCCATCGCTATCTCCGTGAGGGACTCCAACGGCTCCTCCGGGACTCCATCAACCGTGACGACGACGACCCCGCTCGCACGAACCAGGGACACCTTGCCGAAACTTCCCACGTTTGGGATATATGATCTCGGTATATCGATCTGATAAAAAAAATTATCTCTAAACAGCAAAAGAGGAGGACTGACAAAGAGGGAGTGTCAAGGTTGGGAGAGAACGGCCAGCACTGGCCATAGTGCTAGCTGAGGATGTCTATCTGCGTCGCCATCCAGTCGGCCTTGTTCTACTACCTCGCCTGCACTCCATGTCTCCAACTTCGCCATGAACACCGGACACAGAAAAAGGCAAAGAAGGAGCGAAAGGAAAAGGCACGAATCATCGCTGAGCAGCCGCACCTATATCGCCATCCGGACCCCTATAATACGAACCCCTACTGGGCCGAGGAGATCCGCATGGGGCCATGTCTACCCAAGAAGAACAAACCGAACGATGCTAGCAAGAGTCAGAGCCAGAGGGGCTTAATGTGGGAAAGTCGAGATGGAGTGAGCATAGCAACTGGGAGTACGCATGCCATCAGCATGGCACAGCCGATGACAGCGACGCCAATAACACCGACAACGGAGGAAACCAACAATAAGCCTGTTGGGTTTGTCCACCCTCCGCTCGTGGACGTAGCAGCAGACCTAGCAACAGACGCAGAGACGGAGACTATCAGGCCAGATACAAGGTGGCCCTCTTCTACGTCCGGTGTTCCAGAACAGCATGACGATGCCGTTAGTGCCGTACTGAGCAAGACAGCTTCTGCGACAACAGTCGGCACCGACTGGAACATGAAGCGGTATCAGCGCGAAGATGAGGAACTCTGGGGCTACGACGATGAGTCCATCAGAACAAGTTACAAGTTCATGGACGCCATCAAGCAGGCTGGTTCGAGCGCTGGCCGCTATGTCGAATCCAAGCTAGGGCTCGAGAAGCAGGTGACGGAGGAGGATAGGTACAACTTTTACTTCTCCACCAAGAACCCGCCCGTCAACGACTATCACCCTCCGGTCGTCAGCAGCAAGCCTTCGCACAAGAACGCGCGTGCCTGGATGTTGCAACCCCCGCCTCCCGCCAAGGTGATGGAGGGCAAGGTCCCCGTTAGCAGGAGCGCCAGCACGATGAGCGTTCAATCCAAGAGGACGATGGGCAGCACCATGTCGACGGACGGACGGCCTTCGCTGGGGAGAATTGTTGGTGACAAGGCTCTTGAGGCTAAGATTCAGCAGCGAACTGCCAATGGTGACGGATATCTGGATCCCGAGTTGTATTCCGTTGCTTCGACCATGTCCCGGGCGAGATCTAAGAGAGCCACCAACGGTTCAATGGCACGGAGAACCAGCAGCCGTCTTACAACCAGAAGCCAGGACCTGTCTACGGGCTCTGACGGATCCGACGAGGACAACTCAAGCACCAAGGCACCGAAAAGACGGACCACACGGAGACGTAGCAACCGCAATGCCAAGCCCGACAGCGATGAAAACGAGGAGGACGCCTACATCTCCAAGAGCCCGGAGTCACTGAGCAGCACCCATTTCCCTCCCCACGCCGCCCAGAGACCCAAGCTCCCTACCATCAAGAGCGCAGGTGATGCTCGTCTCGCTTCGGAGGATAGGACGCTGTCTTCGTCACCGAAGGTCAGGCCCACGAGCAGATCCAGCACCAAGGTCGTCCTGCAAGACGCGACCAACTCGTCGAGCTCCGTGTCTTCTTCCTCTAACAAGATGAATCAGAAGGAGCGCATGATTGGCTCCATTGACAGCGGTCTTGCTATGCATGCGTAATCGGGCCTCAAAGGTCTAAATCTTTGTCAGAGATAGAATGCCAAGTGCGACAGCGATGGGCATTTTGTCGTTGTTGGTACTGGTGCCGTTATCAACCAGAAACGAAAGCATTGCGTCTCAGTTGTGTGTTTCTTGTCCCGTCATCCTAACGCACGCACACTTTCAGAGAACGGGACGCTTTCAAGTCAAGTCAAATCATGTTAAGTTGTTCAAAATCTAGCATAGCCATTCTGTTATTGTGTTTTTCTCTTTCTCTTTTTTCTGCATCTTTACTGCCTTTCCGTTTTTCGTTTTTTTGCGAGTTCCGTGTACAGAGAGTATTAGCATGATTGGCACGCGTACCTAACTACCTCCCTACTATGTTCATTCAGCACTTTACATGCATGGGGGAACAAAAGGGTGAGCTGAGCAAATGGGGTGAGCGTGGAAGGGTGCGATGGATGCGATGGCTACAAAAAGACAGAAGGTGTCTTCTAGCTGCAATGCCTTGCAGTTCAGGATTCTCGTTGCTGTTGCTGTTTTCGTTGTGGTTTGCTTTTTGAAACAGAAGTTCGGACTCCGTGCAATTGGGATCATCTTGGGGATCAACATCCAACACGTCATGTCGGTGTAAGGGCGTTTCAGGGGTGTGGATAGGGAAGGGAAGGAAAGGGAAAGGTGTTGATCGAACCATGGCTGAAAGACTGAGACTGCTTTTGGCAGGCAGGCAGGCAAGCAGCAAAGGCAGAAAATTCACCACAATTGGATTGAACGATTGGTGCCCAAAAAAAGATTGTAACATGATTTGCAACTAACTTGCCAGAAGCTCATGGTCGTTGATGTGCTTTTCAAGTATATTTGACGTGGTAAGGGTGCGTAGGCCAAGGAACTAAAAGACCGGGAACTAACTGTCTTTCATCCATCCGTCATCTCTGTTGATTCTAGAGATGGAGGACGGATTAATCAACGGGGAGGAATATCGCAGGCGGAAAATATTCCACCTCGACAGATTGTATGCTTCCAATCACAAGTCCTGCCGCACTTAAGTTGAATCTCACCCTTTCTGCTGATCATACGGAATACTGCCCTCGTGGCTGATGCAGATTTAGGTGCTCATCTCTTCATGTCCTGTCTACTACAGATATATATTCCATATACCTCATGAGGGCGCATCAATTAGAATATGCAATCCTGGTAATTACCTACTAACACGAACCAGCGTCGGTCCAGCAAATACAGCTCAATGCTGGGTTGATCATTTCTGAAACATCTGGAGGAGACGTAATTCGGCTTCTTCGTTTCGATTTAGGGAACGTCTTCGACTTCATTAGAAGACATCATATTGAGCTTGGTTATATACATTAGAAACCCGCATAGGGGGCGTAAGGGAATTGACTCGTTCAATAGTTTAGTTCTTTGGCCTCTTAGGGTAGGTACTTAGGCTCCGGTAGTGGATCGAATGTTTTCAGCTTGTACCTACCTACCTTATGACATCCAGTTATTGATGTTCGGAACACTGCAAGCTGGGAGGAATATGAGATGAACAAACACGCCAGTACGTCCATCTTCTTCAAGTGGACTGGGGTCATTGTTATCCACCCATGTCCATATCGAACGAGCATGTTCCACGGTGCCTCTCGTCGTGTTGCATATGCATTCCAGTCGGGTTGGGATCCGGGCTTCGGAAGAGGATGAGATTTGATTGCCTACTTGGAACGAAACGACGGATAAGTGGTCGGATGATAACCCTACATGCTGTAGAGTAGTGGGCAAGTTTCTCAACCGGGAGGGGCCCTATCATCGTCTTTGGACTAGGCCAACCCAACTTCTCTATATATGCCTGTCTTCAAGTCCGGAATACTCACACCACACGCCGTTCGGTGTGCTGGAAGGTAGAAACGATCTTCGGAATGTATCAAGATGACGGGTTCGGTAACTTGAAGCAAACACTGGTGATGGAGATAGTGTGTGCTCGTGACACGGGTGGAGATCACTGGAGGATACAAAAAGAAAAGAAGACTTGCGTCCTTTGTTGAAGAAAGAAATGTATCTGGGTTATGTCGCTGCGTCGTCCCATGTGTTGAACCAAAGACTAGGTGTTATGGGATGTAACAACAATGATTCGAGATATACAAGGTAGAAGAGGTGTTTAGGTTATTTAAGTAATCGAGTGTCTATGGTAAGAGCTTGGAGCAACCCCCTTCTTTCTACGCCTCCCCTAACACTCGAGGAAGAACCAACCTTCCAACCATAGAGATTTGATGCTCCTAGATGCGTTGGGATTACCTTTATCTGGTGCTCCTATAAGAAGGCTTTGCGATTGATACGTTAAATTTTAAGACAAAAAAAAATGAAGTCAATGTATATTGTATTTGGGATGAGGGAATCTGACAAACTCCCAAGTCCACTTTAGATGCGCTAACACATCGTGGCCGAAATAGTCCAAGTTTGTAGCTCTAGTGTACTATGGAATTAGGACTTACTCTTATGACAATGGTTTCTTTAGATGAAAAGTCAATTTCTCCATCAAATTGTATCTCTTGTATAGTTTGGTCATTCAATAGATATGCATTTTGGCAGTATAAAGTTAATGAGTAATGATACATTTCGTGGGGATTGGGGGTGGTCCCAAACTTCTGAACACTAATTGCATGAAGACGCAGCAAACAATCGCGGTGTCAGGCAAATGAGATGCAACGTAGGCCATTTGATAAAAAAAAAAAAAAAAAATGAAAATTCTGAAGATTTCGCACGATGTCTTGCCTTTTCCTGCTCTTGTAGCATCTGTTTAATCAACCTTCACAGCCCTGAGGCGTCTTGGTAACTGAATAACAAGAAATGCATCAGAAAGTCACTTATTCGTCAGTCTGCCGATCCATGCTGCAAATGACAAGTCGTGTGTAACCTCTTAACGGTGCTCAACCCCTATCCTCCTCCTTCGGTCCCCTACTCCCGTCGCTTGCCTTTCACAGGTGCATACCGCCCTCCTCCTCGTCACCTTCCCCTCCCAAGTCCCGTAGCCGTTCTTCCATCCTCCTTCTAAGCTCCTCGTCACTCAGCGAGCCACCAGCACCGGCACCAGTACCAGTTCCACCTTGTTGTTCTTGCTGTCTCCTCGACCCAGCAACATCATCCATGACAATCTCTCCATTCCTAATCACTCCAGTCTGAAACGTCCCATCCATCCAAGCAGGGTGCTGTGTCGTTGTTGTCGTCGTCGAAGTTCCATTCGTCATCGGTTGTCCTTGCTCCTCATCGTCCGAATCCTCACCAGTCTCCACCGGTCCGCGAGCCCTGTTCCTCGCCGCGGCCGCCTCGACTTCGTCCTTCCTTTCGAACTCGGTCCAACTGAGCCCCCTGCGCTCGACCTCGTTCTTGATTAGCTGGACGCGCTCCTCCATGCGGACTATCACTTGCTCGTTCTCGCGGATGGCTTCCACGCAGTCCGGGTCGGGTTGGTTTTGCGCTGACTCGCCGCCGGTGCTGGAGCCGAGAGGGGCCTCGATACCTTCGGCGAAGGGCCGCAGCTGCTCGTTGGAGTACTTGAGGTGGGCGATGGAGTTGTAGATTTCAAGCACTTTGAGATGCAGGGCCGAGACAGGGAGGTCTTCTAGAGCTGCGGCGAAAGCTTGGGGGGTTATGGGGAGGGATTCGTTGGAAGATGACATCTTTTTTGGGTGTGATGGGTATCAAGGGGGAAACACTGATACGGTTGTTGTGGTTTTGGCTGTCGTCGAAGTACTTGGGTAGTGTGGACTATTGCTACCTATTCTTCTAGAAGCAAACTGGGGTACCTGTCTCCCTGTGTAGGTATTCCGGCTTTCTTGTGGAAGAGTGTTGACGCTGTGATTGGCCTGTATTCCAGAGGTACAAGAATAGAAATTGAAAAGCGAATTCGGTGTTGGATCGACAATTTAATGATTACGATGGCGAAAGAAGGCTGCACTTTGGTTGTTTGTTTTGGTCGGTTTCTAATGAATTTCGAGGTCCTGACCTGACGTCGCAGCTCGATTGCCTGGACGGGAGCTTGTTCTGGAAGCTTGCTATGCGGGGCCCTTGCGTCCCGCGAAGGTGCCTGGAGGACGGCAGGGGCAGAGCATCTGAAGACGGCCCCTCTATGGAGCCAATTGAGCCTCAAAAGAACCAATTATACTGCACAAATCTGCCTGCCGGGTCCGGGAGCTCCGTCATTTTTTCCCTGGCCGTTTTCCGGTTGCTCCCCCCAGATCGGCCGGTCCAACAACTCCCGAGTTCGGACTCACCTTGATGGGCAGTTTGCGCGAAACGGCGCGATATAGGGCGCCCATTCCGTGACCATGAACTGCTCCCTGGGCGTCAATGCCTTTCGGCCGGGCGTCCAGGTCGCCGCTCACCACTTTTCCAAAGCATGTAGCCGACTGCTCGTCGCCGCCGCACCCACGACGCGATGCTTCTCTTCCACGACATTGCTCCCATCCACGGCCCAGAACCAATGGCAAGCCAAGCGGGGCCGCCTTTCTTCCTCGACACCTTTTCCTGGACCCTCTTCGATCTCGCGCATCGCCGTACGCACCCTCAAGTTTGCCGCCCGCAACAGGGTCATTATCCACTATGTAGACCTACCTCCGAACTACAAGGACGAGGAGGGCTTGCCGTTCCGCGTCGATGACCTGGCAGCTGGCGAGGTTCTTCAACTATTCGGGCCCCAGATGACCACCCCTGCGGCTAACCGGTTGCTAAGGATTCTTCACGGTCGACGCGTCGCTGGAACCCTTGACGACCCTGTGCTCAAAGTCAATACTGCCGGATACACTCCTAAAGATAGGAGAATCGCACTGGACTACCTTCGCAAGAACATCTATGTTGACGAGGTCGTGAACGCCGGCTTACGCGCCGAGGACGAGCTGGCAGCCCTGGAAAAACAACAAGAAGAAGACGCCCAGGCCCAGGCCCAGGCTGAGGGAGAGGACAACGTCACCAAGCAACTGGGGTACAAGTCACGGTTCAAGATGTACCAGGACGATACTGAGGGTCTCGACGAATCCGAGCAAAAGAAACCCGAACCCCGATCGGTTTACGGCAAGAGCGCTTTCGATGCTATTCGCGCGCGGAACGAGGCTATCTGGAAGGAGAAGCTCAGGAAGCAGGAAGAGGAACGTAAGAAGCTCGAGGAAGAGTACAAGAACGGCAAGGCCGGGCCTCTCGCTAAAGCGGACGACACCCCGAAGCGTGAAGTTAGCGCCAAGAGAAAGGAATGGGAGGAATGGGCCATGTCTGACCTCAAGGAACCTCCCAAGATGCCTGCGTGGAAGCGTCTGCTGCCCTCGACCGTCTTTGTCGCTCTCCTCGTTGCCGGTTTTCTCACCTACTCTCAACTCTACGTCGCCCCCAGCCGCGAAAACAGGTTATGGCCCGATTGTCCTCCAGCAGCCGCCACCGTTGCCGTCCTCATCGGCGCCAACGTTCTGATCTGGTTCCTCTGGAAGGTCCCTGTCATGTGGAAGCCTTTGCTGCGGTACTTCTTGATTTCGCCTGCGACACCTAACGCGTTCAGCATGCTTGGTGCCGTGTTCTCTCACCAGGTTGTCTGGGGTCATCTTATTGTCAACATGCCCTTCCTCTGGTTCTTTGGCACCCGGCTTCACGACGAGGTTGGCAGGGCCGACTTCCTGACTACTTATATCCTGTCCGGATCTGTTGGCTTCCTGACCAGTCTGTTCTGGCTCGTTCTAAAGGGTAACTTCCATATGACTACCCTCGGCGCATCTGGCGCCATCTACGGCATCTCCGCAGCCTACTTTTGGATGCACAGATTCGAGGGCTTCAAGATCTTTGGCCTGCCTCCTGACCCATATACTGGTGTCCAGGGATTGGCCTTTATTGGATTGTTTGGAGGTCTGAACATATGGGGATTGTTCAGCAGGAACCATACCATGGATGTCGTATCCCATTTGGGTGGCATGCTTGTTGGTATCATTGCCGGTCATCTGATGGAGCAGAAGAAGAAGGCGAGGCTTCAAGGAGCGGGAAACACCCAGCTGAACTTGAAGGACCAAAAGACAGGGTCCGGCGTTCTGGACACAATGCTGGAGAAGAACTAAATGGTGTTCAAATATGAAAGATCTTGTATGACACATAGTGTATTGTATAGTTGTATATTTTGCTTGAACATCCGCGGATGCTCCCCTTTGTTTACTTGAGTGCCATTTTGGGCCGTCGTTCGGAGCAACAACCCCTATCCACGTCCAGAGGTTGGTCTCTCGATCACGTTCTTGATCCATTCCAGCTGAAAACTAGTGCGTTGCCGAGACCCGCCAGTCCCGCTGAACAAGGCAGGGAGGGACCGGCTCCCTTCGGAACAGGGGTTCCAAAACCTGGCTGCCCCATTGGACACTCTTGCTCTCCCACATGCAGGATGATGACAGGGCACAGGACCAAAGACGTTGAGAGTTGTTGGACTTTGGACTTGGCGTCGTCCAGTCAATTTGCGTCTCCAAAGATTTGGGAGAGATTTTCAAGAACATCTCTATCGACCTCACCACAGTCCGATATGAAGCTGTCCAGAGCTCGAAGCCGGCCTCTGAGGGCGCTACGTTTACTTGTTCGATCAGCATTTCACTGTGGTAACTTATCATATAGATGTCTTCTCAAACTCCACCCAGAAAGAGTCACTGGACTGAACGGACCCGAAAAGACGAAGATACCAATCTGATGTTTGCCTTGAGCCGGCAAAGAGTGGGTCTAAACGCGTAATACATAAGCGGCACCACCATCGCAGTCCTCTTTTCATATGGAAGCGGAGTTTTCCTCTCGGAATTGGCCCAGAATGAAATGGCGCCGAGTGAAGATCAAAAGAGATACCAAAAGATCGACGGGGGTGTTGGCGACCATGTGAGGCCTCCAACAGCTCCCCAAAGCTCCCTAGGAATGTTCCATCAACATGAGGCATTCTGCTAACAAGCCGCAGTCCAGCCAAGACAGATAACCAAACGTCGAAAGGGCGGACAAGGACGCCGAGTGACTAACTCGCCATCTTGCTCATCTACACTACACATGGATGACTGGCCTTCTTATTTCACCGCATTTTATCTCCACGATGCCCAGAACTAACAAGAGACAAACCAATTGGGTAATGGGCACCCCAGTCGGCGTCTTCATGCCGTACCTACTAGGTCAACGTTCTTGTGTGCCATGTGTGTATGGGTTTGTGTACCAACCTTACTTTATCCAACTTGTATTTTCAAGTGGTACAGGAGTCAAGTTGCCATGACATCCTTTCTTCTTCCGCGTTCCCCCCTCCTCCCTATCTGGGAGATTCTTTTCCTTGCTGAGCCGGCCTTAAAAACACGACCTCAAGACAAGGAACTGAAGTCTTGGCCCCGAAACAACTAAGGTGTCCCTCCCAGAATTGGCAATCTCTTAGACAAAGCTTGGTGGCTGAGGATAGCTGAGTTATCCGCGACACCGTCGCCGAGCAAGTGAGTTGTGCACGACCCCCCTGTTCCCATGGCATCAATTTAGTTGGATTGAAGGTCTCCTCCCTTGTCCTTTGTAATTTTGATTTCTACTTCTCTTTCTTTTCTTTTGTCCGCTTTTACTCCCTTCACCACCCAACAGGCCATCTAAGTCTCTTGTCGGCTAGAGACCAGCTTCAAGACCCCGCCGGCGCCTCAGCCTACGAACCTAACAAGCTGAGCCCTTGCGACCGCTTACCGAAGCGTTGCTGGTACTTCGAACTTGGGAGCTTGGACTTCCCTGTTTTGTAATCGGGGACATCAGGTCGCGGAATCTTATATGTTTATACGTTAACCACCTAACCGCTGCTTGCATTTGCGACTGAAAACGTCGTGATAACGCCTGTCCACCTGTTCGATATGGACTCCCACGAAGCGCAGGGCTATGCGCACGGCGACCAAAATGCCCAGGACCGCAATCCTCATGCCTCCAGCTCCCAATGGCGTCATCAAGAGTCGCGAGCCTTCGCCAAGTACGAGGCCGAGAGAGCCCAGCCCCAGGCACCATCCCGCCACCACCATCACCCCTCAATAGCGCGGGAAGCAGACGCACGCGGCAATGTGAACGACCTGGCCGATTTCCTCAACAAGTCGCGTATCTCTCCCAAGGAGGCTGACACTCGCCCTCCTACCGAACCAAAGTTCAAGCCTGTGGTGCTGGGCGCTACAGAAGCGAGGGAGGTTCTCAATGGCGAAAAACACGTGGCCGACGCATTGGCTCCGGAGAGTGTACCCAACGACAAGGAGGTCGCGGTAGGACCCTTGCTCAATTATCGCCGCATGGAGGGAAATCAATGGGTTGGCAGTGTCCTGGTTGTGACCCGCGGGGGCGGCAGAGAACAGTCCTATAGGCCAAGCTTATTCTTGAGAAAGGCTGCTATGGTCAGTATGAGCAATGGCAATGGCGCCGCCAATGGTCACAGCAGTGGATCCAGAGTCAGTGAAAGTCAAGGTATCTGTCTTTATTCGGACTGGCGCAACACTTTCTGGAGGTTCGATTTGCACCTGGAGATGGAACCCTATGAAACCAAGTGGGAATATTGGCTGTCGGATTACCTTGTCTTTGCTAGCAACACAAAGCCAAAAGTGAATGCCTTCTTCGTGCCCGCGATCACGGAATCGATGAGAATCATGTTCCACTCCTGCAACGGGTTCAGTGTCGGTACAGACGAGGAGGACTGGAGCGGCGCGTGTTTGTGGAACGACGTTATGAGACGCCATCAAGAGGCACCGTTCCATGTGATGTAAGAAGCTGAGGATTCTCTCGAGTCTGTCGACTGCTAACAGAGTACAGGATCGGTGGCGGCGATCAGATCTATAACGACGGCGTTCGAGTCTCAGGGCCTCTTCGCACATGGACCAGTATCAGCAGCCCCAAGAAACGGAGAAACTTTCCATTCCCCGAAAGTCTCCGCGCCGAGTGTGACGACTACTATTTGAACAATTATATTCGGTGGTATGGGACGGAGCCATTTGCAGGTGCGAACGGTCAGATTCCTCAGCTAAACATTTGGGACGATCATGATGTATGACCCTTTCGCCACTTTTTCTTGCACCGTATATGTGGAAACACTAACACGATCCAGATTATCGATGGGTTTGGATCTTATGTGGACGACTTTATGAAATGCGATGTCTTCCGAGGAATTGGCGGCATTGCCCACAAGTACTACATGCTTTTCCAGCACCATCTGCCACCTCCAGCTTCGACATATACCTCGGACACCACGTCCCAAGCTCAAGATGAAGCGGGTCAGGGGATTGACCCCAATCAAATGATCGCGGCTTACGTACACCCAGCTATGACAGAACCTAACTACATTGTTGGATCCTCTCCCGGTGTAGGTTTCTTTCTCCGGTGCTAGGCCAGCTAATCGGCTTGATTACTGACATTTATGTAGCCTTACGTTGCGGAACATTCACACAATATGTTTACAAAGTTGGGCGCTCGCATAGCATTTTTGGGTATCGACGCTCGAACAGAAGTGAGTGGCCTGTCGAGGGGATGCAGGAAGTCACATTTCGAATGCTAACACCTTATAGCGCACGAGACATCAAGTCAACTACCCTGAGACATATGAGGCCATATTTTCCCGCTTGAGGCAAGAGCTTAGCCATGCCATACAAACCGAGAAACCATTCAAGCACTTGATTCTTCTTTTGGGGATTCCCATTGCATACCCTGTGAGTGGCAACTATGGTAACTCATACATTCACAAACTGAGGCTAACATATAACAAGCGCTTGACATGGCTTGAGAATATTTTTGCCAGCCCCTTGATGGGTCCAGTAAAGCTGCTGAACAGGCGCGTGGGCTTTGGTGGCAGCTTCTTCAACTCCTTTGATGGAAGTGTTGATCTGCTAGACGATCTCGACGATCACTATACAGCCAGAACCCACAAGCGCGAACGCAACGGTCTGATCCTCAAACTGCAACAGATCGCCGCCGAGTTCTCGGTGCGCGTTACCATCCTAGGCGGCGACGTGCATCTGGCAGCACTAGGAAGGTTCTACTCGAACCCCAAGCTCAACATTCCACTGGAAGAAGACTACCGTTACATTGTTAACGTCATTTCCTCCGCCATCGTGAACAAGCCGCCCCCAGCGGCCGTTGCCAACCTGCTGGCGCGCCGAAACAGAATTCACCACCTCGACCACGACACCGATGAGACGCTCCTGAAGATCTTCGACAAAGACCCCGGCGACAGCACCAAGACAGCCAAGCACAACCAGGTCACCATGCCCAGCCGCAACTTTGCCGTCATCACCGAGAACTCGCCCAACAACGGGACTCATCTTCAAAATGGTCATGACTTCCACACTTCCTCTCCTCCCCCACAGTCCACCCCCGGCGAAACCTTCCCCGGCCACAAAGACGGCCGCTACGCGCTCGGTAAGGGTGAGGTCAGCGCCGGCACCAAGCACAAGGCCGCCGACCCTGCCGAGCATGGCACGGGAAGCGACGGTAGTCTAGATGTGTGCATCCGCATCGAGATCGACCAGCATAACCCGGAGGGACGTACGGAGGGTTATGGATTGACGATTCCGACGCTGAGCTACAAAGGCCCGAGACCGCCAACGATTGCGCCGCCGCCGGGCAGCGCGGGGAGTAGTGGGTCGAGAGGCACGGGTGGCACAGGAGGGTCGGATGTGCCAGAGGTGCCGGAGATCCCAGCGGGGGTGAGGTGACGTGAGAGGTGAGAGGTGACGTGAGGATGACGGATGAATGAATGAATGAGATTTTCGCATTCATTCACTCCCTTTACGCTGGGGCAGCGGCTGGGAAATGTTTAATGGTAATCCATGGGATGGATGTGTGCGCGATCGGTGTCACTATTCGTCATTCATCGGTGCAAGCCTCTATGGTAGTAGCCTGCGCGTTGGATGAGTGGGTGGCAGTCAAGACCGACGGTACACATCCTATCCCCATGTTCGCAATCATTTTCTACGTTTAAAATACCCATGTATATCATAATACCCAATAAAGCGGTAAACCTTGCCATCATCCACAGTCTTGATCGTGACCAGCTTTTCCCATTCCAAGTGACTCCGATGATTGTAAGAATAGGCTCAACAACTCAACGGTCAATGGATCACACCTTGGGGATACTCTATCAGTTTTATGCCTCTAAGCGTTTTTGTTAAATCTTTGGACCCAACCTTTATGTAGTTCTAAAGGAAAATTCCTTCTTGAATCCTCGCCGAGATGTTTCTGTATCAATTTGATCCCAATTACAGCTTTCCAATGACCTTCCATAATTAAAGGTTTTGGACTGTGCAATATCCATATTAGGTTTGTTCTTGATGTCTTGGCCGGATTTGTTGATGAGCATAGCTCATTCGATTAACTATATAGGTCCTAGCTCTACAGTAGGTTTCCAGCAATCAACTACGACAGCTGAGTAACAGTTGTACATCTTCCGTAGTATAGTGGTCAGTATGTGAGCTTGTCAAGCTTGAACATCAGTTCGATTCGCTCGAGACCCGGGTTCAATTCCCGGCGGGAGAGACCAAAATTCTTTTTTCTTTTTACCCCTCTTTCCGTTCATCCATCTATCAGCGATTTTTATCTGTCGTTGCTTTCTTCCTCTTCTCTTTCCTCCTTTTCCTTTGTATCTTCCTCTTTTTTAGCTCACATTTATATATCGTGTTATCGCAGTCAGAGCCCATGGCTCTGTCTTGTTGTACGCCAACATATTCGTTCCGCGCTATGTCCCAGAATGAATCATGTCCCAAGTCTCAAGTTCATCTGATAGCCAGAATGAAGACACTGCCTCAATTCAACCGGAGTATCAACAGGCAAATGGAACCAAAACATCAATTCGATTGTCTATATCAGCCCCTACAATTTTGCCACGCTACACCGTCCAAGGAGCCCGGGGGAGCCATACCATCGTACTGGGACCAGTATAGGGGGAAAAAGAGAAATTGATATAACACTTGATTCCAGTATAAGCTCGAAAGAAAAGACTAACAGGCAGTATCACAGAGCTGAGCACAATGATGAAGGTGATGAAAAAAAAAAGAGAAAATGCATTCGGTTCTATCCCCTTCCCACATGTATCGTACAACCCACGGAAACCCCCCCAATCCCCCTAGGAAAAGACAAGCCAAGAATGACACAGTATGGAGGGGAAGAGCCAAGTACTATTCTCCTTTGCCTTCCTCTCCGTCTTGTGCTTCTCGTTGTTCCTATTCCCATATCCATTCCCATGTGAATGCCCCAATCCGTTGTATCATTACAAACCCTTGCATTTGCCTTCCCCCCAGCCCCTCCCCTCTGTTTTTTTTTCCCTTCCATTTTCCTCGACCAAACCAGACCAAAACAGAGAATGGTTGGATGGCATGAAGGTGATTGGACCCAGACTCATCCCATGACCCCAATCCCAATGATGTTTGTAACGCCAACCCATTCGAAAGACGCCGCCGATGTCAAGCCCTGCTGAAGCAAAACATGAAAATACGACCAGGACGTTGTTGTTGTCAATGTTGTTGTTGTTGCTGCTGCTTCCATCGCCACTGAGCCCATTTCCATCATTGTCGTTGTCATTGTCGTTGCCATCCCCGTCATCCAAGAAGGAACCATCGTGGAGATGGTGTTGATCATCATTACGTCCCAAAGCAATTGCACCCATATCCATATCCATGACCAAGACCATGGCCATGAGAAACAACAACAGCTAGACGTAGAAGAAGCCAACAACACCCCACACAAAAACCCGCCCATCCCAATCAAGACCGCAACGGCGGCCGTCAGGCTGGGGCTGACGTCGTGGTCGAGCCAGCGCTGATGCAGGCGGAGCGTGCCGAGCCGGAGATGGAAGAGTTCGTCGACGGTGACGGAGTGGGTGGAGGAGTTGAGGTGGAGTTGGGTGGATGATGGGGGTCGTTTTTGCGGTGTTTTGTTTTCGACTCTGTTTTTTTTTGGTTTTTGGTTTTTGTTGGACTTTGGAATCTTTTGAGATATAGCTGTGGTGGTTGGGTTCATGGGCTTATGGCAGAGGGAGAGAGAGAGATGGAGGGAGAGAAACAAAACGGAGGGATTAGGGATTAGGAATTGGAGGGGGCGAAGAGATAAAAAATTTATTGACTGGATAAATAAAAAGATGGGATTAGCCCCCACCGTCGGTAGGTAGTTGGATAGAGGAAAGAAAAAGACTTACAGAAGAGTAAGCGAGACATCGCCCTGCAGTCTAGCCTTCAGCTCGAGCTCGACATCGAGGTTCAAGCCAAGCTGGAGACGGACGGGCTTGGTGTCGGCCAGACGGGGAAGGGTCTGAGGGCCGGCAAGACCGCCCTGCTTCTGGAGGGCGCCCTTGTTTCTGCGGCGGCGACGGCCGCGGGAGTCGACGGAGGAGCCGTCAGTGTTGTTGTCGTCGAGCTATTTTGGTTTTTCATATCCAAGTCAGATCTTCTCTCCCTTTGTTTTGGGTTTTGTCTTACTACTAAATCCATAGAAAGAGGATAAAAAGAAAAACTAAACACAAAAACAAGGGACTGAGGGAGTTTGAAGTATTTACCTGGTGTCGAAGGTCAGCGAGCATTTCTTCCTTCGTTGGGGAGAGATAACCTGAGCGAGCTCCGGCAGGGACAGGGGGGAGGTTAGAGACCTTAGGCATGGTAGGGTTGGCGTTGGACATCTTGAAGGTTGTTGTTGTCGCGGTTGGCGAGTAGGAAGGAGAAGTCGGAGAAACAGAAGAAGAAGAGTCCTGGTGGATAGTAATGTAAGTCACGGACTGAACCAGAGTCCGTGTGTGCTGGGCGTAAAAGACAGGTGGTTTGCGCTTGCGCGAGTTGAGTGACTCCTGAACGAGACGAAGCGGCTGAGGCTTGCTCGAGGTAAAAACGGTCCGGGGATGTGGACGGGAGGGTATAAGTGGTGCCGGTGGTAAAAGTTTGGTGGACTGCCGCAGCGATACCGGGAGAGGAGGGTAAGGAGGCGGTCTTACGGACTGTTTGTGGTAGAGAGTGGGCGGTGGTTGTCTTTGATGAAGATAATCCACGCCGATTCGAGGCTGTGAAAAAGAAGCTGGTTGAAAAGGGTTTGGTGGAAATTGTTGTTGACTGGTTAAGGACATGAAAGGCTACATTGGGCGAGCAGAGGACAGTATATATAAGCAGATTGATCCGGGAGGCGGAGAGAGTCGGTGGCTTCCTCCTTGGGATTCCCCGGGACACCGGGAGATCGACTCGGTCTTGTCCATCCTGCTGAGTGTTACCACCGGCCTTGTCCGGCCATCGTCAAGGACCATTTCGGTATGTTGTTGTTCGATATCAGGGATATCACGTGCCCCTGGCCCAGATATCTTGTGGAACATAGGGCGATACAGGGGCATTGGGGTCCGTGGGTGATGCTTGAAGCTGGAGGCGAACCGTTGGTTTCTCGTACGACTGACGAGTGCGAAACTCCGGCTTTTCCATTGTCACATACGCAACTTCTTCGTCTAGAGGATCAAACAGCGCGTTCGGTAGCAATGTAGGCCCCATGAAGCCATTCCGGGATGGAATGAACTGTTGTGCGCCTAGACGCGCCCGTCTCAAACCTTGGGTGTTAAGCATCATCCGGGCGCTCGGTGTCGTCGACGTTCGCTTCCAGGGGTCAAAGCGCAACACAGTCGATGGTACCTTTGCGCAATTGGTATCAAGATGAAACATTTACCGTTAAACTACCCTCCAACTGGCTCCATAATCTTCATAAATGGTAAGTTTTCTTGGAAATGTTACTATTGGCACTTCAAAATCTATGAGATAAATTCAAAACGTCTGTCTTTCGTCTATCGATTGCCATGTTTTCCCTGGTGGCCTTTTCGTTACCGATCTTGAAGAGCGTTTTCTCGCATAGGTAAGCCTGTATCACCGATTCATCTCGAACCATTCTGTGACGACCAGAACCCTCAGCTGAGGCATTATTCATTTGTGCATCCTCAGCCCAGAATAACATACGCATCCCAGTCACTCACGACTCGATGTATGGAGCGATGCTGCGATTTGAAACTTTTTAACATGGAAGAGGGTGCCGAAATTCTCCGAGAAATTCCAAAGCCCCAACAGGCCGCCTTTCTTCACCCTTCCCATGGGCATCCTTATCCCTGGCGGACCCCAAAAGACCCTGCATATTCCGATCCTGTGATCGCTCGGTTGCTTGCCGGTACTAGTGGCCGTGGATCCAGCATGTATGCAATGTAAACCGCTCGAATTGCGAAGCCGAGCCCCGAGTGTAAGCCGACAGACAGACCCCAAGGGTAAATGATCTTATTCAGTCGAACGTGGAGGCGCCATCGAACGATCTCCTTCCGGATCCCTCATGCGCTTAGCAAGTCTCTGACACTCATTCCCCGCCCTGTTCTCACGGTTCCAGAGGCTGTGGCTGCGGCTTCAGCGGGCCCGTCGATGTTCGTCGTTGACATCCGCCTATCCGGTTGTGTCTGTTGGTTCAACATGAGAAGAGCAGCCGTTGCTTCATGGTCAAGGTCATTTCGCGCTACCAGGTAAGGGCTAGTCAGTGTTAGGCCCGAAATCGAGGCGGCTCGCGTGTCGTGCATGTTGCTGTTGCCACCATATAGATGCCCCTCGGAGCCAAAGCCGGCAGGCGAGGCCATAACAGATGAGCCACTGAAGCTGTAGTGTCTTTGGTAATCGGTCGATGTCAAAGCTAACGAGATCGAATCATGTCGATCCCTTAACGGCTGCTGGGGTGGTATTCCCGGGGATGCGGATGGCTGGTGGGAAGAGGTGATCGCGGCAAGTGGAGGCGAAGAGGCCGGTGAATCAACCCCTGACGAGTCCGACATCTCTACGTCGCCATCTAAACGAACTTCTTGTCTTGCTGCAAAGGTAAAGACAGCCTCAGGATGGAAAGGTTCATGACCAGAGGGTGTTGGAAGACTCTTTATCCCACTTTCTTCCTCTGATGGACTGGATTGATGCCGGGCTTGGAGCTTAGCGACACAATCTTCCAAGTATCTGATATACTCTATTGAGGCCTAAGGTACTTCATCAGCTCCGATTCCAAGTATACCATCTCAGAAATATGATACTAACCTGAAGGATAGCCAGCTTATGCATCTCGCCGGTGCATGCCGGTATCATGCTTTTGAGAAGGGCAAACTCTTCGTTCATCTTGGATCTCCTTCTCCTCTCGATCAAGCTATGTGCTGTTTTTCTCGCTATCTTCCTTCCTGCCGCAGTCGATTGTTTCTTTGTGGCGCCACCTGTTGTCGCTGGTGGTGTGGTCGACACTGGTTTCGTTGTGGTGGACACAAGATCCGAGCCCGATTTGCCAGTGGTCGAATCTTTGGAGGTTGGTGCAGGTCGTGGGGCAACAGCAACTTCACGCGGCTTCATCTGGATGATTTTGCGTGATCTCGTAGGAGGGGGAGGGAGTGCAAAATCGTTTCTGGATGGGCCTGTGACGGTTGCTGCACGCCTTCGTGACTTGACTGTCTCGCTTGGTTGCATCGGATATCTTTTCTCCGGAGTCTGTGGAGGTGTGCCTGCAGCGTTGGATGGCATAATGGCAGGTGGTGGTAGTTCGAACAGCATCTGAAGGGAGGCTAGGGGTGGAGGTTCCTGGGCTTTCATATCCGCTGATGATACTGGCGTAGGCAACGACCTCGGAGGCATCGTGATTGGCTTGTCGTTCTATTGCAATGACCTAAGGCCACCCGGCGAACAGGTAGAGGCGAACTTGGTAGTGAATGAGTGGGTGTGTATGAAAGCGCTAGGTAGGTGCGTAGAACCCTGAGCTTCAGAGTCACGTCCAAGTCGAGCCGGGGAAGCTCAGAACAGCCTGTTGCTTAGACGAAATAGGTAACTGTCAGGCACGACTGACGTTGCCGGTTCTGTACAAGATTTGGGTTTGAAGATGGCGGAAATCCTTCAATTCGTGGTTTTCACTGTGCTTCTGGCTGTGTCTGGTCAAGAGTGGACGATCAAACGATCTTCGAGTATCACCTTGCACTGGTAGCAAAAAAAGAAGCAGATTCGAGTTCACGATTTTGTGGTGAGTTCGCTCAGGTGTTGTCGAGAGGCACAGATGTCCCAGCATGGGATCCAGAATCCGGGTATGCCATCACGGGCAATATATGGACATTGCGCTTGCTGGTTCTAATCTATGATCCATATCAGAGAAATGGGCCAAGGGATTGGCGGTTCAGCAGAGGGCGGGGAGACGGACGTAGGAAGTCGGTAATCGTAACGTGCAGTCCCATGGAACACTGGTGTCTCCATTTCTGAAGTGCATTCCCAAGTCCCGAAGCAGTCGCGTGCCAGCTCCTTTCCAGTCGGCACGAGGTGGATTCCTTGATGCTGATTGGACAGCGTGCTCCTTAGTGTCTCGACAAGGTGTCAAAAGAACGCCTGTAAGCAATGCCGTACAAGGTTGTGCCTCTGGCTCTGGACCTTTGTCTGACGCCGGCTACAGGAAGTATGGATACCTGCCAAGTCTTTGTCATTATGCTCTACTCCCACAACCACCTTTGGCCAAATGGTGTCTTCTGTACATCGTCAGTGATCGTCAAGGTCCCCGACCCTTTCCACAGCCCCCGCCGCTACCCAAGCTCTTTTAAGGCAGCCCGCACGTGGTCTTTGACAGTCAGGACGATCTTCAACACGGGGCAGAACGACGGGCCGTCCGTAACTCTCTCGGACTCACAGCACCAGGAGAAAGAGGCAACAGGGGCGAGTGGTGAAGCACCTGTGCCATATAAAGCCAGCAACACTATGCAACTTCAACATCGGGTAGTGATTTGATTCGCTAGACACCTAAACCAATAACATGGCACCCGTCTCAACGCTGCTCGTACACAACTCCGTCGAACCGCACCTATATGAAAGAATTCGCCGATGCCGGCTTCATGCATCAAAACTCCCCCTGAGCGAGTCCTCCGGGAGAAATCCTCCCAACTATCGTCCGAGTATACGCTGCTCTCCATAATCTCAGTAAGGCCCTACTCGACCTCATTGCTGGGATATGTCACCGTGGTCGTCGAGTTAAACTCCTCCTTGATGCTTCTCATGCTAACAAACCGACTCAGGAGGTTGATGCTGCCGGCCTTGTCATTGGTCCCGCTCGCTCGGCTGCCACCAAATGGCTGCTGGCCTACAACAGCACCCGTGCTCTTGCAGTTAATGTAAAAGTTTCCTGCCGAGTTGCGGAGTTTCTCCTCTGCGAAGCGGATAACGGTCCGGTCACTTGCAAAGATTGAGCCCGTCAACTCATATTCCGTAGCTCCGTCGACGATATCATAGATAGAGGTAGTGCTGTCTACGTAGTCATCATAGACGTAGACCGTCAAGACGGGTCCGAACAGCTCCGTCGAGAAGAGTTTATGGTCTGGCGTCTTGGACACAAAGATGGTTGGCTTGACGTAGTAGCCAACCGAGCTGTCGTATTCTCCTCCTGCAATTAGCTGGAGGTCTGGGTCTTTCTTCCCCTCGTCAATAGCCGTGCTCAGCTTTTTGAAAGAGGCGGCATGAATGACCGGGCCCATAAAGTTTCCATGGTCATGAGGCGGGCCAACTTTCAACTTCTCCGTTTCTTGAATGAGAAGCTCCTGGAAATCTGGCCAAATCGACTTGGCAACGTACAGTCGGGAAGTGGCGCTGCACTTCTGGCCCTGGTATTCGAATGCACCACGGACCGTCTGAACAACAGCGTTTCGTAGATCGGCAGACTTGTGAACCAGGTGGAAGTTCTTGCCACCGGTTTCGCCAACAATGCGAGGATATGATCGATACCTACCCTCAGCAACTCCAGCGCCAATCTGGCCATAGAGCTTGCGGAAGACGGCAGTGCTGCCTGTGTAGTGTAGAGCCGCAAAGTCCTTGTGCGCGAGCACTTCCTTTGTCACCAACTCAGGATCGCCGGGAATGAACTGAATGACATCGGGTGGGAGTCCCGCTTCGAGAAGGACCTTGTACAGAATGTAGTTGCTGAGGATCGCGGAATCGCTCGGCTTCCAGACCACAACATTGCCCAGCAGTGCTGCCACGCCTGGAAGGTTGCCCGCAATGGCAGTGAAGTTGAACGGGGTGACGGCATAGACAAAGCCCTCAAGTGGCCTGTACTCGACACGGTTCCAGACACCGGGGGAGTTATGTGCCGGTTGCTGAGCGTATAGTTGCTCCGCATATTGGACGTTGAAGCGGAGAAAGTCACAGAGCTCAGCAGCGGCATCGATTTCGGCCTGCCAGGCGTTCTTGCCTTGGCCCAACATTGTTGCGGCCATCAACTCGTAGCGATACTTGGTGCTAATCAGATCGGCGGCCTTAAGGAAGACTGCCGCTCTGTCAGCGAAGGGCAAGCTTTCCCATGCCGGCTTTGCGTTCAGGGCGGCATTGATAGCCAAGTTGACCATTTCGGGGGTTGCCACGGCATAATTGGCTATTTTCTGTTTGTGATCGGCGGGGTTCACCTGATACTTGGTGTCTGCTTTGCTAAGCTACGTTTATGGGCGATGGTTAGCGAACGGCTTTGGATGAATGGACATCTTTGGGCACACGCTTACCGTCCTTCCGCGAATGTTAATGGGAACGTCGACAGGAAGATTCTTTGAAAGCGCCGTATAAGCTTCCGTGAGCTTGTGTCGTGATTCTGAGCCTTTGGCATAGTGTTGCTACGCTAATTGTCAGATAGGGCGGTTATACGAGGTCCGGAAAGACTCACATTGGGCTCGTTGGCCACTGTAGGGACTTTGAAGGTTGCGAGAGTAGAGTTCGTCCTGGCGATGCTGGGTATGGCTGTCCTGGATCTCTGGTTATGTAGCTGCGGCCTTAGCAATGCAGAGTTGATGGTAGTCGAGGATGTGCGAGCTGATCTCAGACCACTTGAAGTGGTAAGAGACAGCCTCTGAAGCCTGCGTGCCGACATTCTGTTGACCTTGTTTTGGCTTTCGTCCCAGGCGGCTCTTTTTGTAGGTAGGTATGTATGCCTTTCGAGATCCCAGCTGCAGGGGGGAGACAATTGCACAGGATCGGAACTGCCGTTGTTCAGGTCAGTACTGTAGTATAGGAAGTCCTTCGTGCGTGATGTCGACGTTGGACTTTCGAGCTGGAGCTGCCTAGAGGAAACACTTATATGTAAAACTGAAGATTCGACGATGGAGGTTGGAGTTGAATTAAGAGTACAGTCGGACCATTCCGTCATCGGCCTTTGGAAACCATGTATCATCGTCTTCCCCTCACAAACGCCTGCTTGTGTCCTGTATGAATGCCTTCAGCCCGCCCCTGTCATCCCTGCCAACCAATCCAGCCAGGTTCTGCGATTGACGCATCGCTTTGCGACGGCTTTAGATATATCAAGCTGTAACGCCTTCACATTTTGACGTTCTCGTGCGGGGCCTGGGGTCGTTCTCATTGGCCAATACTTCATTTAAGCAGGGGCGCTGTTTGAATGCTAAGCCGATAACAAGGGTGCTGGCGCCGACTGCCCTCCGGCTATCATCTTATCGTTCGACTAGAAGCCGAGCTTCACAGAGCAATTCAACTTCAGCTCCAGTCCTCAGTCAGCGTGTTGCACTGAAGCAGTCTGGAAGGTTTTTTTTTTTCCCTTTTCTAAAAGTTCGAAAGCCGGTTCTCGGAGGCACCGGGTTTGCTTGTGCCGAGATACGATACTACATGATAGCAGGAGCAGTAATACCTCCCCCCTACACGACTGAAAATCATCGGTGCCAGAGATCATCGCAAAGGAGATGGACGCTGTCATCAGAGCGCTTTGCAATGAAATATGATCAGAGCTAAAGATTCAAACTCAAGGAGGGAATCTCATGAGCAAAGCAAAATGTGTTCAAGGAAATAAAAAAGAATGATGGACTCTCCGTTGACGAGACTCTAAACTGTGATCGATGTTGATGGATTCGGAGGTGGGGCACTGAGACACCTGCCCGGGCCTTCCCTTCTAGCTCCACTGTAGTCCGGGGGCGCTCCGCTGGAGCAGCACATACCTGCGGCATCATGCAAGTGTCTGACTCGTGAAGATGGAAACCACGATCTGGACCTCACGGTGTGAACCTCCTTCTCCTCTTCTCATTAAACTTGACTGAATAATATGTACAACATTCAATCATGAATTTAGTGGAGTGCCTTTGCTAGAAATATCAATGCTCTACACTACGTTTAACTAGGTATATCTCTACACACTTCCTTCGTTACCTCGTTGCTTCTTCGAGGGTGCTCAGAGAGCTGGATGCCCTGCATGCTGACCATAATGCTGACATTTCCTTGGTGGTCCAAGTTAGTAGTTCTAGCAGTTGATATGCGATTTCCAATGTCCAATCCTCTCAAAACAGACTTGAGTATCAGCCCTCACGATTGAACCCGACGTGACAGCGGAAACAAGCCCCAGACTAGTCCTTGATACTGGAATCTTTTGTTTGTTGCTTTCACGAGAAAGATAGTGCATCGATAGTACAACGAGAGGGTGTGAAGCGGATCACTTCCACGACGAATCACCGCGCAGAAGGATCACTTTCACCAACCCTCCCGAGCCCTCCAAACCAGGGTCGTTACCTATACATTGGCCGTCGCCATAAGACGAGGCCGGCATTGAATACCACTTGACCACATGAAACTTGAACCCCACCATCACCACATGGTGTTCATAACGGTTGACGATAAGCCTAAAGCATGGACCAAAAGACCACCTTCTTCAGCCCTGACAGGCTTGCCGTCACAAGGCACAGGCTAAAAAGAGGCGAGACGGCGAATCGACAACGTGAGATGGCGTCTGAGACGTCTGGTTGGCTCATGAGCTCGCTTCTCCAGACCTCTCGAACATGACCACGTCACGCAGAAACAGTCGCAGGGATCCCGGCCGCAGTCGTTCTTTCGGAGGGTTTCCCGTCCAGGTATGTGTTTGATTGGTAAAGTGCAAGCAAACTGATCAACTTGGTCTATGGGCTATGGCTCGGCCCGGCGCCCCCATAGTCGGTCGAAGAGGGGAATAATTGGTAAGCTTGGCAATTGGTTAACAGGAGCTGGATGTATAATTGCAGGAGTAACTGCTCAACCATCCATCTTGGGCTCCGATAGCCGTCGGAGAAATCTGACAACCCACAAACCGTAGAAAACGGCATGTGCTGTTTCGAAGGATGAGTTGCAAGCCTCGTAAAAAAGAACGATACTCTGTAAAGCTGAAAAGAGATCCTTTTACTCGGGACAATTTTCGGCATCAAGAGAACCGTCATCTGCAACTCGCCAAAGGCAATTAGTTAAGCTTTTCAAAACTTCAACCTTGCGGGATAGACACGAGTCGATCGGAGCCTTCGCCATCCACATTCAAATTAGCAGTCCAACGTATGTAAGTTGTGGTGAGACTGAATGACTGCATCAAGCACACAGTACCGCGCGCAAAGATTCACCTTGACCGGCGTAGTGATTCGAGTTTGTTGCGGGGATCGACAACAGCCATTCGCTAAACTCGAGCATGTTGATGTGTGCAAACTTACCCCATCATGCCCCCACCAAATCCTTTGCATCCTTTTCAAGTGGAATGGTGGTGTAACTTGTGGGTGGGATGTAACTTGTGACAGCAGCAGCCGGCCAAGAGGAACGTTTAACTGTAAGTTTGGCAAACCTGAGTCCGCGTGAATGCCGAATGGGAATGCTAAAATATATATATCGACGGCAACAAACATGAACCGCAGGGGCGCTTGGGGAACCGGACTGGAATGCTGCCGCCAAAAGCAGCGTCATGAAGAAGGTTGTTGGGGGTTCTCGGTAACCCTCTTCGTCGTCGGGAACAGGTGGACAGTGCAAACATTCGTTTTCCGTATAAATCTGCCTCAATAGGCGACGAGATAGACGAAGGGGGTAAGACGTGGATTCAAGATGTTATCATGCGGCCAGGTTCAGAGAGCATCACCAACAAACTTCTGGGGACGGTAACCACCTAGAAGATGGGGTAAGCATGCAGCAGATCAAACAACATCCACTCCAAGCGTACACGAACCCGAGCTGTCTCGAGCACAAGGTAACGTTTGCACAACAATGGGACCAAACGATCTTTGCCCAAATGGGATCCGTAAGCACGGGGGGACAAAGGATGTCGTTGAGACAACCCAGGTTCGGCCAATACACACTGACGCTTTCCTGCGGGCGACGGTTTCTAATGCAGGAACAGGATCGATTCCATTGCTTCTTTCTGTCTGCGCCCGTTCCTTCTGTCAGTAGAGGCTCTCCCTCCCTTGCATAAGAGCTCAGGCCGGTCGGTGAATTGTAAGCCGTGTCTCCTTTTGCAATAGTCTATCATGGCGTATCGTATCGTGAAGTAATACCCCGAAGCTTATCGGGAATAACCACGACACCGGAATGTCAATCTCCTGAAAAACCTGTTATCAAGTTGATGAGGTAAAGAAAATGGGACGATGTTTTTGCTAGTACAGTAATGTCCCCTGAAAGTGCAACCACCCCCAAGTGCAAAAGCCCCCCAAAGTGCAAAAGAATTGGGTGGCCGGAATTGTTTTCCTATATTAAACCTGCAAACTGCAAAGTGCAAAGACTCTGGCCCGGATTTGCACCTACAGGGGCCCAATTTTGGTGGGGGAGAACACTTATACCGAGTTAGCAAGGCTCCAAGGTCCCACTTTTTAGTATAGCCGAGTATCTTCTAGTGGCTGGAGGGGGGCTCATGGTCTGTGCACCAGATCCCCCAAGTGCAAATACCCAGAAAGTGCAAAGGATTTTGTCGGCCCGGATTAGTTGCACTTTCAGGGGACATTACTGTAGGTAATGTAACGGTATGGACCGAAGCTTAGGTTGAATGTAGTCAGGAACGGATGTGGATCGGTGGGGTAAGTTGGAAACAGTGCCTGGCCTGTCCGTTGTCCTGCACAATCCAGAATCTTACCACATCAGGCCTAGCTCGCCCGAACTAGCCCCACATACCCCAGACGTTTTGCTAAAAGCTGTTAAGGTTGCCGATACCAGATGGGGTAAAATCTCCATCGTTCCTCGGAGATTTGTTCAACTTTTGTTCACGTCCCTTGATCCGAATCAACCGGCGATGACTTCAAAAAATGATGCCGTACCCGGATAGCGACACCCAGGCAGGGACCCCAGCATTGACCCTGGACAAAAGCGAAGTGCCGTGGATGAAGGAGCCTGAGACCGCTGTCGGATCCATCTCACGTCCGGGTCATTCTCTGATAACAAAATTTCTGTTCCTTGCAACTGAGCTCAGTATGTAAGCGGCCCAGCACGTACTCCCACTTTCTACACAAGCGACGAAGCAAGAGACCAAGCCTGGCCGCGGGCTTTCTCTCTTCCCCCACCTTAGGCTGACCAGCCAATGGACATCATCCACGACAGAGAGCGGGCCCTTGGATTTTGCTGTTTCAGGAATTGCCTCTTGTCATCCACCAATTCAAGCCTCTCTTTTGACCATTCATGGACGACTTTTGACATCTGTGAGCAATAATTCGTGCAGTCGGTCGGTCGCTTGGCCGGTCGGTCCAGGTCTCCGAAGCGGTGAGCAAACATCACATCATTGAGCAGGAAGACAATTTTGCTTGCATTGGGTTCGCAATGTCATCAACAAGGGAACACGACGTTTCAGTGCCTGGGAAGCTCCATAGTGCCATTTCGTTTCTGTTTCTTGAAACGTCCGTCGAGTTCCCGTCACCATGCTCAATTGCCCTCCCCCCCCTCTTCTTCTTTGAATACACCCCGCCGCCCAAGCACGCCATAATGAATCGGACGGTAGCAGCTTTCAAGTTTTCCACAACCTCACCAGTGACGGTGCCACGCAGTGACCTGCGCCGCCTCGCCGTGGTCGCATGAAGCCGGCTGTTGTCTGCTGTGCCCCTACGATTGCATCTTGCTTGGAGCTATCATTGTTGTCATATTTACGCAGCTGGCAGACCGCACGGAGAGTCTGTCATCGAAACCATCCGCTGTTGACAATGGACTCGTCTAGATACTGATATATCATCAGCCATTGACACACTTGGTCCCGTGAAATTCCCCCAAGTCAGAGCGGAGATGGCTTTTTGGGTTGCTTTTGGAATTGTACACTGCGTACAAACGTAGGTATACCTAACGGCGTACCGCCCCGGTCTCGGTCAAGTGCCCGGGAGGGTGCCATTGTCCTGTCCCTCAAGCGGGGCGTGTCTGATCCCACGACCAAAGATATCTCTGTCTGCTCTTGACCAACCATTCCGAGACCATCACTGCAGCTGACTTTGCAGGCCTGTGGCACACACAATGCTTCCATTGTGCACTCGGCCCAAGCCAGACATGGGGGAACTTGACCAACAACCTCTGAACAGCTTTACGAGGATATTGTCGAGGATCACACACCTCGAGACTCCGACGTTGGGTTTACACATCCACAAAGAAACGGCGGGACTGCGGGTGCCCTGAAAGGGGTAGGAATGGGAGATATGCAAGGTACTGGGATCTCGAGTCTTCCTGGTGGGCTCACCACCATCCACCCACCTGGTATCCATCACAATATGCACACCTCACCACACCCCGCCCGGCTAGCCCGCCACTCCTGCCCAGGATGGGATAGTGTCCGTCTTTGTTGATGCGCCTGGGTCACGGACTGGGAATATACATGCCGGTCATTCCTTTTCTACACTAAGTCTTTGTCATTATTTTTTAATAGCTATAACCGTACAGGGTACGCCACCTACTTCCGACCTCGTGGTTGCTTTCTTGCTGTTGCGTACACTGGATGTCAACTGGTTGGGGATCAGGCTTCCTCTGTACTTCAAGCGGTTTGAACATCAAAGATCCCTCTCCTCCCGTTTATCCCACTCTTTCACCTCTTCTCTTCCAAGCACTCCAGACCACAAGGCCTCGGTGCCAATGGTTTGCTCCTCGAGTTATTCGACTCCTGGTTTCTGGTTTTCCCTGCACGGTTCAAACAAGCTACTTTCATCACCGCTCCTCTTGCTTTCGAATTCCTGATCCGCTTCATCAAATCAAGTCTTATGATATACAGGGCTGCTCTTTGAAATCAAGACAAAGTTCAATGACATCTTGAAAAGGTAAAACATAGTTTATTTTCTCCAATCCACCCTTCACCCATGGCTCGCTTTCCTTAATCTTTCCTGTCGCTTATATTAAGCGAAGCAATGTATATTACGAACAGCCAAGAGGTGAATCATGTGTAAAAAAAAAAAACTCAACAGGACCACAGGTCCGAGTTCAAGCAAAGATTTGGCACCAATGAACATATTTGTTCAATAACCTAATATGTCCGATCAAACCTGCTAACGTCTTTGTCATCAGGCATTTTCACGCTAGTCATACTTACGAAGCTCTTTGTTCCGTCCGGTTTAGGCTGTTCTAGCAGCTGGCAAGGAAATCAGCATCCTCAAGTCTCGATAAAGTCGACTTTCCGAACGGCAAGGTTTCCCTTTTGCGCCGCGTTTCTATGAGAAATACGGCAATCCGTCCTCGGCTTCCATCTGTCTTTTTCTCTTCACACGTCACTTTATGTCCCTATTATGCCCCCGATCACGACCGTGGCGAGGTTTGTCGACGCCGTTACAAATCAGAAAAGGGGAGAACCATTCGATAGCGACGATGCCACCAGCATATACACAGGAGGAAGGCTGCTCATCATCATCCTAAGCAGCGCAATCCCAGTCGTGGCCATCTTCTTGGCGGCTATTGTGCTCTGTCTATGCTGGAGGAAGAAAAGACGGCAGATACGAGTCTTTTCGCGAACCGTTACACCAGTCGATGATGAGGAAATTGCAACATGGAAAATCCCAAAAAGTGAGGAGGCCGGGTTTACGACCATGGACGACACCGACGTAGATGGAAAGAGCAGGTCGGCAACAGGGGATCGTTTGAACACCAGCCATGGGAAACAGCCTTCAACAAGCTTGGTAAAGAAGCCGGCAAGCGTCATCGTCTACATCAACCCTGAAGATCAAGCAGCTGGAGAAACCCGGAAATCATTCGACGAAGGCTTCATGCCTCGGTCCGCCGCTCATAGCACCCACAGCGGCTATTACGGAAGAACGAGCATCGACCACACGCCACTACCACCAACCCCTATCCTCGCAAGGGCTCCCAACTCCCGAGCCGGGCTCACAGACGACGCGGTCCCCGGCGATGTTCCATTCATACTGACGCCCAAGCGCCAGCCCTCTCGGCTACACAAGCTACCGCCAGGTGCACATGCCGTCGTATCATCACCAGGTCCAAGACATGGGAGGAAGAAGAGTTCAAAGAGCAGCACCAGCAGCATAGGCGGTTACTCAAACTTCAACAACAACAACAACTACCAAAACAACAGGGGGGCATACTACCAAGGCGGAGGCTATACATCCGACACAGGAAAGAGGTTCCCTGGGCGACATTCCATCGACCACGCTCGCACCCGTAGCATGCACCATTCACGTCTTCAATCGGGAGTGACAGTTCCTCCGAGGCTGTCGCTTGGCGATGATGCGCTTTCAAGGAGACAGTTTATGAGAGAAGAAGAAATCGGACGGGCAATTGGGTGATTTGAGTTATTGCCTACCTACGCTTTACTCTCTTCCAGTTCCAATCTCCATATCCGGCTGGCTGGAAAGCCATGTTCATTTTTTTTTTTTTCTCCTGCAGATCCATGATCGACCAACTTCTTCACACCGAGGTGCTGGAAGCTACCTTCCTCAGTTTACAACGTTCTCTGGATCTGAGGCCTAGTCATGCCTTGGACACATTAATGCTGGCTCATTGCCAAAATGCAGGAACATTTTTTTTTTTACTTTTCTTTTGTTGTGTCTTCCGGGATGACAGACAGCTAGCCTTGACTGGCTGTTCGATTTTTGTTTACTTTTTTAGGAATGAGGAAACTTATGTTGGATATACCCTTTGCCGAGAGACGTTCTTGCTTCTATTGTGTATAATTTTGTTTCAAAATTTTCGTACCTTATTTCTTCCTTCCCCTACGCAGAGGGTTGGTTGGGAAAACTGTTACTAGAAGAGGAGGACGTCAATTCAAATACAATTTTAATTGACTACCTCTATGTATGCCGCGGGTCTTTTGGTTTATTTTGTATGATCAAGGTATATTGAGGGTGTTATTTGTGGTGAGGTTTAACCATGTGGTTGTTTGTGAGTGTGAAATAAGCGGTGATAGTAGGACGATACGAGATTTCGAGTGGCTGAAACATAACTTGATCCTGAATATGACCCAGAATTAGACGCGATCAAAATCAATTGCGTCTAGACGGTAAGATTCATCCTGCCTTGATCGCTTCAAGTATTCAAACTGCTGAACGTAAAGAGGAAAAGAGTGAGAGATGGGCCCTCTCGATAGTTGTTGAAGCTACAGTCTTGGTGCTGATTCATGTGTTAGCCTGGTACTTCACAAGAGATTTCTTGATCGCTGCGAGGACACATAGCAAGGCAAAATCAGCCGATGAAGTACATCATCTAGATTTATTCCAGAATCATATACATTCAGCAATGCCAACTGGCTTGGATAGGATGCATAACCTGGGTTTTAAAACGCCTAGGTAATTTGACCAGAGGTTCCGCGCGAACAAAGTGTCTGGGCCAACTCGAGGCCATTCAGGGTTATTTTCAGGAGAAACAGACATTGGCTCGTGCGCCACTAACACCCTTCACTTTAACGTCCCTAGCTGTTTAACGCGTCCTCCTCCGGTGACGCGCCGCAATTTTCTCCAACCCATCGCATCCAATGCTCCTCTCCCATACCCCCAGTCGCAATTGAAGTCATTCTTGGAAATCGCAAAGTATTGCTTCATTCCCAACGTCCACTGGGACTTCAGCACATTTAACCCCTCTACCCAGTTTCTCCGTAAGATAACCACTACAAGAATCCACAACTACCGTCATTGTGAACAGCTCGTCCCGAATTTCACCATCGACGACGTACCCCTCCATTAAACAATTTCAAACTACTACCAAGTCACAATGCCACCAAAAAAGACCGACGGTACTCGGCGCAGCGACGTCTCTGTAGCGCGCTTTGTCATAGCCGACGAAGACACGACAATGGCCACAGGCGAACCAACTCTCTCTGCCAACCCAGCCTCCGCCCTCGTCGCGGCAGCCATTGAGCGGGATGAACGTCTTCCACCTGTATCCACAACCTCCGAGAAGCAGTCTACCCCAGTACCTTCGACAGCTGCCGGCCGCGCCTCGTCAACCACGGGATCAGCAGCAGGAGGAGGAGGAGGAGGAGGGCCAACATCACCATCAGAGTCTAAGCGGGGAGGAGGAGGGGCATCAGAGAAGGATAAGGAACGGGAAAGGGAAAGGGAAAGGGAAAAGGAGCGCGATGCCATCACAATTGAAGATCTCACGCTTCCGAAATCGATCATCACCCGTCTTGCCAAGGGGGTGTTGCCCTCGAATACGCAGATACAGGCAAATGCGATTCTGGCTATGACCAAGAGCGCGACGGTGTTTATCAGCCATCTGGCCAATGCGTATGTCTTTTTGTCTGCATGCAGGCTCCAGGAGGAGGAGGACGAGGGAGACTGCTCCCCCCCCTCTCCATTATATTCACTTTGGACATTGGCGCTGACTGAAGGGACTTCAAAAATTACCAGTGCAAACGAACATACCGTCTCATCAGGAAAGAAAACCATCATGCCGGCGGACGTGTTTAAGGCTCTAGACGAGATTGAGTACGGGTTCATGCGGGATAAGTTGGAGGCCGAGTTTGCGAGTACGTCATCCTTTTTTTTTTTTTTTTTCTTTTTTTTTTTTTCCCCCTTCCTTCCTTCACCATGTCCCCCAGCCTGTGCACATACACAGAAACCCAGGCTCATAGTAGCGTATCTACAACATGTACTAACCGCACACACAAACCAAAACAACAGAATTCAACGAAATCCAAACTTCCAAACGATCAGTCTACCGCAAAAAAGTAGCCGCAGCCAAAAAGGCCGGAGGCGGCGGTTCCGTTTCCGGTTCCGGTGTCGGTGGTCCTGGCAGCGTAGCCGGCGGCGGTGACGGCGGCGGCAGCAACGAACCAGGAGGAGGCGAATCACACGAGCGAGCTGTTGGCGGCGACGACGACAGCGGTAGCAATCAGCAAAACCAAAACCAGTCGTCCGCCGCGACGACATCGACAACAGACAGAGAAAGAGAAGCTGGACCAAGGTCAGCCAAGAAGGCCAAGGTGGATACGTCGTCATCATCAAAGATGGAAGTAGACGGAGAAGAACAAGACCAAGATCCGTCGGATGCGGAGACGGTTCCGGATGAAGAGGTTGAGGAGGATGAGGATGAGGAAGAGGAAGAGGCGGAAGAGGACGAGGACGAGGAGGAAGATGAGGAGGAGGAGGAGGAGGATGGGCAACAAGGAGAAGGAGAGGAAGAGGATGATGAGGAGAGGGCGGGACCGCCGGACGAGGATGAGGCGCTTGATGATGATAGTGATTAGTCACGTCACAATCAGTCGGTCGGTCCTGGGAGACGAGTAGTGAGTTTGGGGAGGAAAATTGGGGATGTGGAGGGGAGGGCTCAGGGAGCCCTGATGAGGTTTTGCAAAAGCTGAGGGATTGGACTAGGGCTATAAAAGGAAAAGAAAAGGGAGAGCGGTGGGCTGGAGAGTAGAGGAAGATACCCTGAGCCCCATATCATCCGTATACAGACGGATGCTTACTAGAACGTCATGGAGCTTAAAAAAACCAAGATGCCATGATACAAGGTGTTTGATATTCATATATTCGTATAGTTATCATCTATCTTTATGTATGCAGCTATTCGGCCTTCCCTTCTGATTTCTAACCCCTGAAACTTGTTGAATGTACGTAACTGCTTTATTGGGTATGGGTATATGAAAACTGTCTTGAACCACGCTCCACAACATATATTTCCCCCCCAGGAATTCATGCCAAATCATCATCTGTATCATCCCAGCCCAAGCGCTGGTATATACTAACCGGCGAGTTGTCCATCTCTTTCTTGATCTTCGTAACTCCTCCAACACCGCCACCGCCGCTAGCACGACGACTGCTACTACTACTGCTGCCGAATGGGCCGTTATTCTCACTCCCCCCTGCCCCCGTCGTCATGGAGGTAAAAGCACTCGGGAGTCTGGACTTGATGGGCGTGTCATCAACAACGCCGCCGGCGGCGGTGGTCGACATGGCTGTCTTTGTCTTTGCGTTGTTCAGCGGGGTCTCGAAGAATGCGAACCCAGGGGAGGAGGGAGGGAAATCCGCTGTTGTCATCGCAGCTCCTTCATTACCGGAGCGGTTGCCGAGGGGTGTTGGAGGGACTAGGTATTGCTGTTGTTGCTGTTGTTGCTGCTGCTTAGCGACTCTGTTAAACGGGGACGCGATCGTCAACCTTTTTGCGAAGATCGGAGAGGACGAAGGGATGCTGTGGGTAAGGGGATCGTCTTCTTCTTCTACGATCTGAGGCAGTGACTGTAGAGATTTCTTGCGCATAGGTGTTCCTTGAACGGCTCGTTTTCGTTGAGGTGTTGTTGTTGCTGCTTGTACCTGTAGATGCCCCTCGGGGCGAGGTACTGGTAGTTTTTGCTGTGTAAATCGCTGTTTGCGCATGGGCGTTGCTTGAACATGTAGCTCCTTGTTCTTCGGCGGTACCGGGGTCGCCTCTTCGACTTCCTCGTCAATTTGAGGGAGCGAGATATGTGGGACGGACTTCTTCCTTAAAGGCGTCTCTTGCATTTGCTTGCGCGGTGGGATCTGTGCGGCTTCATTCCCTCCTTCAAAAGATGGGTTGGCGCCAATGTTGGGGGTAGTGGAAGTGGCAAACACATTCGTGAACTTGCGAGGTAAAGTGGACGCAGGGACTACTGAGGCGCTAGACGGTATGGGGGGACCGTCCTCTTCGAAGAGATGATTCAGGTGTAGAGGCTGCGATTCTGTGGCGAATACGTCCTTGAAGCGATTGTTCGCGGGGGTGGCCTTGATTTGCACGCCGGCGGCTCTTGGTTGCTTCTTGTTAAGCTCTGGCAGGGTTGTTAGACTTGCCCGATAAGGATGGGTATCGAGAGATTACTTACTACTCTTTGGCTGAGCTGTGCGTCTCTCAGCCTCCTCTACAATCTCCTTACCAGCCAAGGCTCGGTTTGGCTTTTTGAGTGCAGAAATGGCCTCCTTGAGCTCGGCCTCGAGACGAGCCTTCTTTTTCGCCTTGGCGTCTTCACTGTTTGCCGAAGGCCCAGCACTCCGCGAGAATATGGAAACGTTCTTCTCTTTGACCGCTACAGCCTCGGTCTTGGGTACCATCCCCAACAGAGGCTCGCTACCATCTCTTTTCAGGCCCGGAATTGCAGTTGCACTCGCCGAGCGCAGCAGTGCGATTGTCCCAGACGGACCCCTTGAGACACTTCGTCTCATGCGCTCATTGGAGAGCACGCGCTGAAGAGTTCTTTCATTCTCCTTTTTGGTAGCTGCAACTCGTTTCCCAGGGGCCCCAGGCTTTGGCTTGGTTGCTGCAACTGTTTTCGCCTTTTCTTTGGGAGCTTGTATCACCGGACCGCCTAGCTTACGGTTGATGGAATCGCAGAGCTCCGGTAGACGAGCAGAGAAACTTTCGCGGTTTTATCAGCATCCGAGTTATTCAGACGGAAATGGGCCATGACTTACAAGGGGACGATGATGTCGACACAGAAATCTCGTAAAGGATCTGAATTATTATTCTCTGCTGACGCCTCTTGTTCCTCAGCAGAAGGCTGTGATTCTGTCAATGCCTTGACCTCGTCTAAAGTTGTGCTCTGCCAAATGCAGAGACGATCAGCATGCATATCCAGCAACAGCGGCAAGTTGGCCGTTTTGTTCTTTTTCTTGTTTCCTTCTGATTTGGTGCCTCCTATCGTTTCTTGCGTTTCCAAGCCCGGCAATTCGTTGTCCTCTGCAGCTACTACTGGTCTGTTCAAAGGCTCAAGAGCCAGTATCTCGAGTATTATGATCATTTGCAGCTGAGTCTCCCGACGCCGTAGAGCCGAGATGTGGTGTTTGGCCTCGGTCGCCGCGACCATTTTCTCATCCTCCTGTGTAGTACTCGGCTTGTGAGTCACCCACCATCGCTCGATATGCTCTTCTTCCGACGGATAAAGTCCATCTTTGCCTAGCTTTGGTTTTTTTACTCTCTTCTTTCTGGGCTTCGACCGTGCATGCCCTTGCTCGGAATCCTCCACGATAGTCTTCATTTTTCCGATAATTTCGGGGAGAGTCTCCCGATACTTCTTGTCTATTAAAGCTGTCGTCATAACAAGACCTCTCAGGAAGTCAATGAGATGGCTCATTTCGAGGTTCGAGTCGCAGTCTAAGTGGAATGCCGCTCGTGCCCTAGAGAGCGGCCCCTTTGCAAAATACGCCAAGGATCCCTTTGAATGATATAGAGCTTCAAAATATTGCATTCTGATGTTTTGGAAAATCCCTTCGGCGGTTGGTTGCGACAACACGTCCTCCGCAGGATGTGGAAGAGTAGCGGGCAGATCGGGTTTGTTCGACACTGTCGGCACCTCGGCTGGTTCCGCGATGCATTGATTTTCACAGCTCTTGGATTCAGGACTCCCTGATGTTGGTGTAGGCAGGTGAGACAAAGACTCCTGCTCAGTAGTTGTCGTGTTGGATCGCTTTCGGGTGAGTGACGACTGTATCTCCTCTATTGCAAGCTTTCGACGCTTCGTCTCCTTGTACATTTGTGGTGTGATGAGGGGCCCTGGGGCGGCAACCTCCAGCTGCGATGGCTTGCAGCTTTTCATTCGTTGGCTCGATACGACCGTTGCGGCCTGGGCCAAAACATCAACGTCAACCCATGATCCAAGCTTGCATAGTGTGTATAGACCATCGCTTTCCCGCTCAATCGCATATAGCATGCGATTGGCCTCAGATCGGGCAAGAAGAATGTTTGAGCCCAATCGACCTTCAAGGTCCAAGATCTTGATACGCGATTCGTAGAAGCGGCTGGGAGGGAAATCGCCCTGCGGTTGAACAAGGTCAAGGGCAGACAGAGGCAAGTGTTCTCGTGGAAGAAGCATCAAGGGTGATAGAATGCGCGGCTTGTCGGTCAGGGTGGAAGGATGTGGCTGGGAAGACAATAGACGGTCAGTTGCTTGAAGAAAAAGTGAGTTGACATCAGAAAGGCGCAAACATACCCTGAGCACAACAGAAGCCTTCAAAAGACCATCTCCCGCTTGAGAGAAGCCGGTTGCCTCCCTCTTGCGCTTCCTGCCATCAGATGAAGCCTGGCTTTGTCTTGTAGGCGAAGGTTGTTTTACAGGTGATGCAGGTAGTGCTGGAAACGGTAGTCCTGTTGCGGCCGTTAAGGATGGCGTCGGTGCAGATATAGATCTGGATGAAGTTGGACGCGACGCGCCAGAAGTGCGTCTAAGCGAAGAGGACATATCGATATGCTAAATATGTTCGCCATTAATATTGTTGTTTGTTAACTCGTATTGAGGATGGACATGGCGACTTGGATTAAGACTCGATGACCGGGTGCGCAATTCCGTGAAAATCGAATAAAGCTGTGTCTGTTCTCGTTGCTAAGTTACCTAGTATACTGTAAGGTGCTGTCTCGCCTTGATGGTCAGGTCGGCCCCTCAGGTCACCTTGTGGCCGGTTCCCCATTCCGTCGCGCTGGACGCGCAGTGAATGTGTCCAATTAAGAACTACGCGTTGCGCTTAACTGCCAAAGCGTCATAGGTTTGTGCGCTGCTAAGGCGCATGTAGCCCAAGCTCCCGCCACATCTACGCAGTACGCTACACTACATACCTACAACAATGCCATGTACATTTGTAACTGAGTCTATGTGGAGATGATCACGTTGATTGGTTCAGTCAAAAAGACTGCGGCGTGCTCCGCACTTCCGTGTGGCTTAGCAGAAGCTTGCAGGCTTGGATTCCGTCAGTCTTTTTGCGGGTTCACAGCAGGGGAGGTTGAGAGCTTCTGCGGCACTGCTCCCATCTCACCCAACAAAAGTCGACTCTTGCACAGCAACGACAGCAGAGCTTCGATCCAATCAAAGGTCGGACGCTGGACGGGGAGACAGCCGGTCAAATACATTTTATCTATTGTTTCAAGATGCTCATATCGAATACGACAATTCAGAAATCCCATTCTTTTGGATCTCCCAGGCAGATACGATGGCAAGATGGTCTAGATGGTTCGTCAACCTCGGGTTCGATCACGATGTTGTGGTCAAGTGCGTTGGTGGACGCGGTGGCAATTCCCGATCGATCATGTCGGCCGGGTCCAATGTCCGATTCCCCTACAGAATTGAGATCTTGGGCGCTTTTGGGAGACTCCGGCTCTGGAGTGGAGGGCTCACGCACTACTCGCCCGGCCAGCCTTGTCGCACGTGTTTTGCTTTTTGCGCGACCGGGACTGGCAGTGACTGGCTACCAAACCGTGGGATCGTTATCCAGGTCTAGACATTTTCCTATTGCCTATTTGGGCCAAAAACCACAAACCTGGTCAGAACGCATTATATCGTTAGTGCACACAGAACTCAATCCTCCATTCGTCATCTCATTTCCGGCCTTCTCAAGGACGTTGCCAGGAGGAAGCAAGTAGAAAGACAAAGTCGAGTCAAAGCAAGGGAATTTAGAATGCCATGCGCCCTTGATCGGATGAGGGCCCGGCAAAGATCAGCCATAACTACCTTGCTGTAGCCATCTCGACCGCATCACCCCCAGTCAACCCAGCAGTCTTTGCCAGGGGCAATGTCCTTCCTGCTCTTGCCCAGAAAGCGAGGCGACAGGTGAAAGTCACGATGCTGCAGGTCAGGGTTGCTCCCGAGGTCTGCTTCACCCCCTGCCGCTGTACCGTGATCGCTTGAGTGTTACTACACCACCTAGTACTCGTGTTACACCCCCACTTATTTGGGGCTCGCAGAACTCACACCCTCCTAAGAGGGTGTTTACCACCATTACGGCCAACCCAGCGCAACGGCCAGGTTAGGGTTAGAGGTGCAATTTTGCGCTTGATTTAGAGGCTGAAATACAACTTTTCCATCTCGCTAAAATCTTAAATAGAAAAGTCTCAATGGATGAAATGAATTGTCCTGGTCATACTTACAGTATTTTTTTCATTTCAGTTTGTTGTTGCTATGCGTTATATGCTTTTTTCACTTTGGTGCTCAACCCTCGTGGCCGTTTTGCTGGGTTGGCCGTAATGGTGGTGAACACCCTCTTAGGAGGGTGTGAGTTCTGCGAGCCCCAAATAAGTGGGGGTGTAACACGAGTAAGGCCTCCTCATTTCAAGGCTGTTCCCAACTGTCTTAACATCGCCTGCAGAGACTCCTGTTGGTTCGCGAACAAAGGCAAGGCTGTAGAGCTGGACTGATAGAGCCAAGAGAAGCACACCAACACAAAAACTCCGCCAATCTCCACAACCTGTCCCCAGTGTACATACACTAGAGGTATGGGCTCCTTAGTGCCATCAGTGCAGACGGAGCTAGCTGCCCGCTCGTACCTAACCCCCGCCGAGCTGGCCTGCAGTGTGCTTGTATGGGTGCCGTCGGGCCACAACTTGCATTCCTGTTGCCTGTCAAACCCACCCCGGATTATTAAGAAGGTACAGGGGCAGCTTGAGCCATGAGGAGCCGAAGGCCCAATCAGTGGTACCTACCTCGATCTGGGCTGCCCCCTATGCACCGGGCTGTACCTCTACTCAAAGTAGGACTTTTCACCTCTCTCCACCTTCTCTGTCAGAGCTCCAGAGTTATCACGAACTTCCCTTTCTCTCCTTTGACTTGTCGGCGACACACTAGACACCTACTGCTGTCCGACGGCCCCATTGTCGATATCGATCTCTATGGTGGGACCAGTGCTACCTCACAGGACAGACCGCCTGACGACTGCTCCTTACCTCGACCGCACTACCGCACTGCCCCTGGCACGGACCAAACTGGACTAAGCCGGACTCTGGTGGTAGTACTGTACCTACTTACCTATCTGACCTGCCTAACCCCGACCTTAACAAGTGGAAAGCGCCCAGGTCCCAATTGACCTTGGAGGTGACGACGGCCGGGACCGCCGTGGACGTCGCTTGCATCGCTGCATTCATCCACTTCCATCCCGACGCAAGGACTCCCCCTATTCCGCCGCCACTAGGGGCTCCAGGCCGCGACAGTCTTCGAACCCGAAACACTGGATACAGCCGTTTTTCCATTATTCACGCCGCTCGCCGACATACCCGATCAATTGATCGAGCTCTGACGGCCCTCCCCTCATTCTGGCTTGCACCCCATGGACAAGCAGGGCCCTGGTGTCAGCCTTGTTTCCCCAAGCAGTGGGTGATTTTGCTGCAGCCTCTTTAGCGAGACATACATTCCTTGACTTGACATCGACAACGACGACCACCGAGGACTCCCACAGATAGACGACGACGACCTCGACGACCATCATTTCCAACAACAGAAACACACGCCGAGCACGAGACGCAGACACACACGCTCACAGCACACGCAGCCACTGATATTGACTGATACCAGTCTTCCGAAATTGACATCGACACCGCCATCGACCGCGGCCGCGACCGACCTCTCCGGGACGGACGGCCTCGTATCGCATCGGGCGGTGAACAATCGACGACCATCCGCTGACAATCGACCATCTAACCTCTCATTCCACCCCTTCAACCCACAATGGCCAGCGAGCTTTCTCCCCGTGCTGTGCGCTTCTCGCAGACGGACGATGAGCCGATTGCCCGGCTCGACAAGCACAAGACCGTGTCCCGACCGAACCCCCGTGCCAACGACTCGGATAATTCCAACTCCTCAACGGACGCCCACGATGATCTCCACGTCCGAGAGCAGATTGACGAGCTGGGTTCTCTAAGTCGATATGTCGAGAGTCATTCTGGCTCGGTGCCTTCTCTGGTGCCCGGGTCCCTGACCAGCTCCCTGCCCCTGGCCAATGGATCGAGCAGTCGCCGCGGTGCTAACTCAGAGACCTATGCCAATGGGACTCCGTCACGACCACAGCGCCCAACCGCCCCTGCCAGGACGCCTTCCAACACTTATCAGCCCTACAACCAGCGCAGGCCCCCACAAGGTCAGCCTTCGTCCTATATGGCGAATAATCCCCACGCCCGTGATGGCTCCAGACCACGCCCCTTGGCCGGCACTTCAACCTTCAGAGCCCAGGAGAGAGAATATGTGCGCAGATTACGACAACAGGACTACAACAACGACTACTTCGACGCTTACGGCTCCGGCGAGCAGTACGATTCCGATTCCGAAGGCGAGACGCCATCTTCCGAGGGCGCGTTCGACAGCTACGATGATGCGCATATTATGTTCGCCAGTAACGAGGATATTCAGATTACCGAGGAAGACCTGAGAGATCCGGAGAGCCGCGAGAGACTAGAATGGCACGGCATGCTGGAGGCTGTGCTCACCGGTGATGTTGTGCGGCAAGAGAAGAAGCGTCTCATTGGCTCCAATGATGAGGCCTTTGGAAAGTCAGCCCACAATGTAGAGCTATGGCTTGGGATTCGGGCAAGGCTATGTGGTAGACACCTGCCAGTCCAGAAAAGGGTCGTCGAAGATGCCCGTGCAGCGCTGGACCGTTCCATTAACGACATCATCAACTTTGCGATTGCCGGAGAGAGCGAGGCAGGGAAACCGCCATTTGAACAGGTTCGCGATGTGGTTAACAAAATCGAAAGAATCGAGAGCCTCTACCCGTCCAGTAGGGAACTCATGACCGCCCTCAAGCCTGGTGTTTATTCGGCCTATCAGGAGACCTGCGACGCAGTGATATCATGGTACAACGTCAATGAGATGATCAACACAGAGTTGTCGATCTTGAAAAAGTGGGTCGGCAACGATGCTCTCGACTTTTCCCGCACCAAGGAAAAATCGCCCAGCGGGAATGGTCTCAGCGATGAATCATCTTTCCTGGATCGTCTCATGAAGGAGGAGGGTCTCAAGTCACTGCACGAAGACAAAGGCACCGAACCGAAAAGCCTAAAGAAGAAGAGTAGACTCGACGGCATCTCTCGTGTCATTACCAAGGCCAAGGACACACTTATTCAAAATGCCGAAGGTTTCCAGAAGCGCCATCTCCCGCCTTATATCGAGGAGCTGCTCACCCTTATCAGTTTCCCTTCTCGCCTCATTGAGGAGATCATCAAGATGCGGCTGGCTTATGCCAAGAAGATGAAGGACTCGGCACAACAAAACCCCATGATGCAGGATCAAATGATCTCGCAGTTCCAAGTTCTTCTCAAGCTCGCCATCAAAATCAAGCGCGAATACATGGAAATCGCTCGACCGGAGCCCGGATGGGACTTGCCCCCATGTATTGATGAGGATTTCGACCGTGTCATCCTCGAGGCGCTCAAGTACTACTTCAAACTGCTGAACTGGAAGCTCAGCGGCAACAAGAACACCTT